CAAAGACAATCTTAGAAAAGTATAGAGCAATTTCAAGGATTCAGCATATAAGCTTTTAAATCAGAATAGTAGTAAAACAGAACATATTTGCTATGTATGCAGGAGTAAAGGTAAATTGTTTCATTTTGCGAGAAATTACCCAAAACGTTTGGAAAAAGAGGAGAATTCATCTAAAAAAAAGGTATCTGGGTTAAAGATTGAGTCGGATAGTGCAGCTAGAAATAAGTTAGAATTTATTGAATTGTTGATTGATGGTAAGAAAATAAAATGTTTAATAGATTCTTGGAATGAATTAATAGTTGTAAAGAAATTTCTTTTTCCTGATAAAATACCCTCTGGATTAATAGAACTCAAAAGTTCTTTTGGTCACGTGGTTAAAGCGGAAATGACCAAGTTTATTTTTTCTTTGTGTGAAAGCAAAAAACAAACTGAACTAGAGGCATCTTATGAGCTGATGACGAACTGTATTTTGCCTCCCCCCTCATGTTTTGCTGACATCTGCAGTGATCGGGTGATGATTATGCAATATGAAGTCTCTTCGAAAAGGAATTTTTTGTCTTTTATTTCTGCAGCCACACAGCGAGATAGATTTATCGCACATTACGGATAACGGATTGCCCAATACTGTTTCCACTCTTATTAAAGAGTATAAGCCACTAGAAAAGCTGTGCCATACAGGCTTAAAAATTAAAGTAATATTAAAAGACTAAATTCCAGTTTCTCAGCAATTGAGGTGAATTCCTTTAAACTGACCAAAAAATTGCTGATGACTAAATAAAGGAGTTGTTAAAGAATGGAATTATAAAGCCATCTTGCTCAGAATATGCTTCGCCAATTGTTTTGTGTAGAAAAAAAATGTGGTAAGACACAAATTTGTGTTTACTTCCAGCAATTAAATAAAAAAATAGCTAAGGATTCTTTTCCCATGGCACAAGTAGAAGAGGTTTTAAATCATTTGGGTGAAGCAAAGTTTTTTTCCCCCTCATGTTCCAGTGGAGGAAAACTGCATTAAATATTTAGCATTTATTACACATGCAGGTCTGTACGAGTTCCTAAAAGCACCTTTTGGTTTGTGCACGTCATCTAGTGTGTTTCAAAGATTTACTTATAATGTGTTTAGAGATTTAATTCGGGATGACACTGATGTTACTTACATGGACAATTTTATTATTCCAGCGTGAAACGAGAAAGAAGGTTTAGAAAAGTTAAAACGCATTTTATAAGTAGGCAAAGAATATGGTTTACAGATCAATTTTGGCCATAGTGAAAGCTCTAAAGAAATTCAGGAACTACCTTTTAGGATCTAAGGTCAGAATAATTACTAATTGCGATGCCTTCCAGAAGACTATGTTCAAGAAAGTTTTAACTCCTAAAGTGGCAAGATGGGCTTTACGTCTAGAAGAATTCAACTATGAAATTGTTCACAGATCTGGGCAGCAAATGAAGCACGTAGATGTGCTGAGCAGAAACGCAGTCATGATGGTTACCTATTCGCAGGGAGAAGTTACAGCCAAAATTGCAGCTTCGCAAAAAAGTGATAAGCGTATCCAGTAGCTAAAATCCTTAGTCGAACAAGGACTAAAGATTTCCTAGTGAAGAATAGTGTATTATACAAGTTTGACAGTGGTCGCGAGTTACTTGTGGTACCCGAAGCATTGGAGCTAGAAATCATATGTATTATTCACAAGGGACACTTCACAGTGTCTAAAACAGAAGATATGCTGAAAATGGACTTCTTTATTCCTAACATTAGAACAAATTGAACAAGTTATCTCAAATTGTGTAGAGTGTATTTTGTGTGATTGAAAACGAGGTAAGGGCGAAGGATTGCTGAATCCGATATGAAAAGATTGCATCCCTTTGAGCACTTTTCATATTGAATTTATAGGACCATTACCTTCAACAAATAAGAACTACAATCATATCTTTGGTTGATGCATTTACAAAGATCGTGTGGCTTTATCCACTAAAGTTTACATCAGCTCAAAAGGCACTGCAGAAAATGAAACTGCAACAATCAACTTTCGGTAATCCTTTGAGAATAATAAGTGATAAAGGTAAGGCTTTTACCTCTAAAAACTTTGAAGATTACTGTAGTCAAGAGAAGAAGATCCAGCACATATTTACAACTATAAGCGTTCCTAGAGGAAATGGACAAGTGGAAGGAATTCATCTCACTCTGATTCCAGTCCTATCCAAATTATCCATAGATGATCCTACCAAGTGGTACAAATACGATGGAGATGTACAACAGATATTGAACAGCACTAAGAGCAGGAGCACAAAGAGCTTCTCACTGGTGTTAAAATGAGAAATCCAGGAAATTGAGAGGACTTAAAGATTATGGAAATTCTCGAAGAAGAAGAAACAAATATTATGATGAAAGATCAAGAAGATATGAGAGAGGAAGCAAGGAAAAATATTCTAAAAATCCAGGAAGAGAATAGAAAAATGTACAACAAGAAGAGAAAAGAGGCACAGGTAATAATGTGAATGACCTAGTTGCAATACAAAGAATGCAGTATGAAGTGGTCCAAAGTTAATGCCAAAGTTCTTTGCTCTGTACCGAGTAACAGTGAGGAAAGGCAAAGAGCGGTACAAAGACCGGACAAAGTAGGACAACAATGAAAGTTCTGGCTGTACAACCACAACAGCTGATCACATGAAACCTTGGACTGTTCCTTCTTAGGACTATGTGCAGCTTTTACGCGCTTGTATCTTTTTGTTTCCCCCCCTTTTTTAAAAAAAACTTATTTTCAGGTGATATACCAGTGTTGCTGATCCGTATTTTTGAGGGCGAAAAGAGAGTCAGGATCGCCGAGCTGTGGCTTCAGTTAGTTCTACACAGCTACCAGAGAGCATTCCCTGTGCGCCGACAGTGAGGTGAAAGACGAGGATGTCAGACGTTAATTCCACGTGAAGGTGGTAACAAAAGAACTTTGTTATGATAGCAAGTGGGCGGCGAGTTGCTCTTTAAATACTAAAAGTGATGCAGAATTGTATTTGTATCTAACAAACGCGAAAAGGCGCAATGGCACTGTTATTCAATTCAATCTGTAGCTTTCTTTTACACAGTGTTTGTAAAGAAAGTGTTTGTACACTTATGATTTTCACTGCAATAGGGCTCTATCCATTAATTAAAAGTAAACTTCATGAATGAGATTTTAATAATAAGATCTATAATCTATTCGTAACAAAATTACATGAAATAAGTATTTTTAAAATATAGCGAAACTTTATTTTAAAGAAATTAATAATAAAAAAATTTTAAACATTTTATCTCACAAAAGTCTTTGTACACTGAAATATTTTTGATAAAATCAAAATTATAATTACCGTTTGCCGTTTTTTAAATTTTTGCATTGTGGTGGCATTTAAAAAAATCGTTTGCTTTAATTTTTTATTGTTTACTTCATAATAATCTATTTATTATTGAAAAATGGGTCGCAGTCGTAAAGAAATTACAAACAGCATTCGAAAATTGATAATTTTTCACCACAGTAGTGTTAAATCAATTCGAAATATCGCTAAATTGGTTAATTTATCCCATTCTACAGTGTAGTATGTGATAAAACGCTTTAAAGAAGAAAAACTGATTGAAAACAAGGTAAGAAAAGGTTGACAGAGAAAGCTAACTAAATGTGATAAGAGATTTATTATTAGAAAATTTGTGAAAAACCCACATTTGAGTGCTGTAAAAGTTTCTGCAGAATTTAATGCAAAGTTTTCTACTTCAATTTCACCTGAAATTATTCGGCGAGTTGTCAGAGAAGCTGGATTACATGGGCGTGTTCTGCCCGTCCAAAATTGTTTGTTAGCGAGAAAAACAGAAAGCTTAGGCTTTCATTCGCAAAATCAATGAATAAATACACCCGAAACGTACTAGAATCATGTCCTATTTGCTGACGAAAGCAAATTTAACATTTTTGGTTCCGATAGTCGAATAACTGTATAGAGAAGAAAAAATGAGGAACTTCATTCTTAAGAACTTAGTTGGAACAGTTAAGCGTGGCGGTGGAGGTGTTCTGTGTGGGGGCATACAGCATCAGGACTTGGTAATTTGGTATTTATTGAGGGCATAATTAATCATTCTCTTTATTTAAATATGTTAAGAGACAATTTTAAATTATCAGCCCAAAATTTGGGTACTTGGAATCAACTTTATTTTTAATCATGATAACGATCCTAAGCATGCGGCTCTCAACATTCGCCTGTGGTGTTTCTATAATTGTCCACATGATTTTTAAAACACCACCTCAGTCGCTGGATTTAAACCCTATAGAACACATTTGGAAACAGCTGGAAGTTAGAGTATGAAAACACAACATCAAAACAAAAAGTAAACTCAAAACAGCCATGACGGAAGAATGGATGAACATTGATACAGAAATTACAAAAAAACTTTTAAAATCTATTCCCAGACATTTAAAAGCTGTTGTGGATGCTAAAGGATATCCTACTAATATTAATTTAATGAAATATGAAAATATTTACTAATATGCCAAGATTGTTTTGAAGTGTACGAAGATTTTTGTGAGATAAAATATTTGTCATTTTTTTTATTATTAATTTCTTAAAAATAAAGTTTCGCTTATTTAAAAAAATATTTCATGTAATTTTGTTATGAATAGATTATAGATTATTATTAAAATCTCATTTGGAAAGTTTACTTTTAATTAATGGATAGAGCCCTATTTCAATGAAAATCATAAGTGTACGAACACTTTTGGGAGCCACTGTATTTCATTAAATGTTTTGTGGTGTGGAAGAAGTGTGAAGTGTTATTTTCCTAAAGAATATCATCTTCAACTCTCCACCCACCACAGTATTACTATACATAAAAACATATTTTAAAGTGAAGTTTTGTAATTATGGCAAAATCTTAAATTAATTTATATATGCATTAGTTTTTCTATGCTTGCAAGTAAAACAAATATGTTTGTTTGTCAGAAAATATTGCATAAAGAGTGGCTAAAATAATCCATTTTTTATATACTTACTTTTGCTTCTGTTTTAACCTCTTTCAACAGAGAAGTTTCTTTGATATTTTGCTCATCTTTATTTTGCAGATTTGACACTTTCATAGCATTCAGATGCCCACTTTCTTCAATCCTACCCAACTGACTAAGATAACGTGTGCTTTCTGTTTTTGAAACATCACTAGGTGGTGAAAGTGCACTCTCTGTCTTTGATACTTCACTTGGTGCCGGAGACTGACGACCGACAATTGAAGAATCCAGTGCTGACAGCATTTCAGTAGATGCAGATGAAGATTTATTTAAAGAAAAGTTCTCCTCACCTCTTGTGAGCGAGTCAACTCTAGATGCAGAAGATGCAGGCCTAAAGAGTGATTTAGAATCGGAAGAATTCCATAAGTCTGATGATCCAGAGCCCAAATATGAATTCTGTAACGACTCTGATGGAGTTATACAATCCTCAACAAAGGAAGATATAGACGATTTTTGAATATTGACACTCATATCATCATCTGAATGATCTTGTGACTGTTCATCATCCCTGATATTGAAAGGTGGAGCTGGAGGAGGATCACGACGTGGTGGAAGTAAACCTCTTCTAGTACATACAGGACCTTGGTCTTTAGGAGTAGTACGTGAAAAATGACCACCATCATGTGCTGCTTCATTATTAGTAGCATCTTTATCGACAGAATCTAAAACCGAATTTTCAGCATCATTTTTAAGCTGCGTTAAGTTTTTTTTAGGACATTCAGAAACAGTAACTAATTGACTAGTAGGCAGAACAGGATCTGCTGGAGTGGACCTTGAGTAAGTTTCACGAAATTCTTCAGGAGAAATTTCATTTTTTAAGGAACGTGGAGAAACTTTAGATGGCCAACGGCCCCGCAATGCAAATTTTAGAAGAAAACTTTTTTTCTTAACTGTTGGATTACTACTGGATGGCTCTGAGTTTATATGAGAGGAAAGCAATGTGTCAGGAACCTCATTTGCACTAGAAAAACTATGGTCTGCATCTAAGCTCTCACTGTCTTCTGTACTGATGCTAGGATTATCTGTAACTATATTATCAAATGAATTATCTTTTGATTTCTTGTCTTTGTCAGCTACAGCATTAAGAGTTGGAACTATTTTCTTTTGTGTACCTTTGATTAAATCAGGTTCAGAGGAAAAATTATTACTTTTAGACAGTTGGTCATTTGGAGATTTGTCTCCAACTTCATTTGGACTATTCTGCGTGTCTTCCGCAGCTTTAGTTCTTTCAGAGGCAGAAGATGCATTATCATTTTGAACATTATTGCTTGTTATAAAACGATTCTTTCTACTGCCACTACTATTACTGTGACTTTCAGATGCTTTGGAACCTGAAGAAGAAGGTCTACATGAATAAGGGCTCAAAGTTTCAATTGCAGAACTTGATGAGCTTTGTTCTGTTTCTTTTTCAGATAAGTAACATTTTGCTAAGCGTTTCTTATGATTTGAGCATTCTTCACTGTCACTACTAGATGGCTCAAGAACCTCTAACACAGAACAAGTTTCACCAGATTGTCTCAAGTTAGGATTCTGTTTAAAAAACATACGTAAATTTACATCTCTGCTGTTAGTTAACTGCTTTGATAAAACTGATGATGAAGTCACATTTAAAACAGATTGCTCACGCACAGTATTATACTTGAGGTCTAATTCATTATTTACTCCAGAAGTTGAATTGTTACAATCACTGTGGAATTTTCGTCTGGTGTCTAAATAAGGCACAGAAGTTTGTGGTGAGAGAGAGTTCACAACATCTGGAGCTGAAAAATCAGGGAATGGTTTTTCAATAGGTATGCATTCATCATCCCCACTTTGCCAGCTGCCATCTGAAGTTTCAGGAGTGGACGGTATAGGCGGACTTTGACAGATGACTTTATCTAAAACATGACTGTACTGTGATCTGGAAGGAGGAAAAAAATTCACATTCACAAAATGACAATAAATACATAGAAATAAAGATCCAGTTTGCGGTAACCATCCAGAAACAAAAAGTCATTTTTTTAAACACCCACACATAATAATTAAATAGCAATGATTTTTAAGTAAAGTATCACATCCAGTTGATCATTTGGAAATAAAATCTAATTTGTTGTTTCACTAAATAGAAAGGTCTGCAATACAAAATTTTGGATTACATATTATTAGCTACAATTAGACATGTATAAAAACTGATTTTTCTAAATTTATACCAATATAATCAAATGTTTACCCCCCTTTATTACTTAGTAAATTTGATTGTATTGTGGAGTTGAACAACAGAATTTCATTGGTTTTTAATTAAAGAATATTAAGAATTGGATTATTTTAATTATGGCAAAGTACACGAGGGCTATCTGCCTAAAGGGAGGGATGCCTTCGTGGAGGACTTTCTAAGGGAAACTGGCTTGTATACACGTTACACACGGGGAAAACCACGAAAATGCCCAAGCAGCCCAGCCCGTTCGTGTGATTCGAACCTTGGACCGAACTACCAGTGTTCAGCGTCTTTACTGCTCGGCCGTTGGTGGGCAAAGAATATTAAGTACTTACAATATATTTGAAATAAATACTCTGAAATGAATACCATAATTTAATTTAGTTCTGTGTTATTTCTATATCATCAACAAATCTAAATTCATTTTCATCTGCAAATATATTCCCATGATATAGGTATCAATAAACAATGCTCATTCAAATGCAGTAATATATTAATAGCAATAATATCTTACGTTGATTGTTACAAAACTTTTACGAGCTTCAAAGTAAAATATCATTTCCAGTTGTTCAATTTTATCAAAAATCTAACAACTTTTCATATGAATCTAGAAAGCTTAATGAAGAAAACAAATTTTTTGGAAGTTTGATTTAAGATTTATTGTGGAAAAAAATTATCACACACACACATACGGACAGACACTGATCATTGTAAAAATAGTAAAACTGTGTTGTGGGGTCCCTAATTTATGAGAATTTTTGGATAGAAAACATTATTTTCCTTATGTACGTTATGTGTTGATGGGAAGTTATAAAATAAGAATAATGAAAACATGCCTGCATTTCCAAATTATTTCTTATATGTGAAACCTATCAAATAGTTTATAAATGAACAATCAGGAGGCAGCCCAAATGTGATAAAAATAAAAATTTCAGCACTTCTTACTTTGCAACTAACATTTCTTGTGCAGAGAATAAAGAAAAGAAAAGCTACAACAACAACAAAAAGGTAATATGAAGGTTAAAAATTTGCTTACCATACTATAATAACTGACATGAAATGCTATGTCTCTTAGTTTAATAATAAAGCAATTTATATTTCAGTACTTACTTAGTATTCTGTAGACCAAGAAAGTTGGCTACTATCAAAATATGAAAATTGGCAGAGATACCACTTCTTATTTAATAAAGACTAAGTATTTGATCTGCTTTGTTTTTGTGCTTTAGAAAAATGCTTTTATCAATTTCCACTATTTTGTTAAGCCCTCCAGTTTTATCAGAAGTTCTGTTTAGAGAGGTATAAATACAAACTTTCCACAGGTAATTGTTCCAATCTATTATTGTTTTGTTGGCCATATTCAGCAGACCATATCCTGTCCATTAATATGCATTTTTTGATGATGGAATCTTATAACTTTGAAACTAATCCACTTCTTGCTGTTTTGTAGAACGCAGGTGCCAAATTTTAATCTATTCTTTCAAAAGCCAAGATAAAATTCCAGCAAGCAATAACAATTAATTTATAACTGCCTTCATGAAAAAAATGTGGTTTATCGTGAATTAATAGAGGTTAAACCAGATGAAAGTGCAAATGTTATGACTCTGCTGTTACATCACACTCGTCCATAATTCGGCTAAATTGTGCTGTTTCGCAACAGTTTCATGGTTGACGGGATAATGTGCAAGTACCTATAACATTACTGTTTATTTCCAAATGCATCATTAATGTCCCTCAATAAACTTTTGCTATGACAAATTAAATATAAAAGCTTTGATTTTTCAGACACAAGACTTCTATTTAAATTCTTTTCCCTCTAAAAAACTCGAAAGTATGATAAAATTACTTGAATTGGATTTCATATATGGTTCTTCTGTATCTTACGTTTGAATGAACTATTTTTTAATCAATTAAAGACTTAATAAAGTACTAATTTTTTTATACAAATAACAAAAAATTGGCTAATATTTTACTTTACACAGATATGATTAAATTATTTTAGTTGATTCCCAACTCAAACTTTCAAACAAATTTATAAATTTAAGATTTTTACTTAAAGAAATTAAAAGTACTTTTTAACATATCATCAGGCATCAGGTTAACAAATTCAGCATGAGCACTTGTAATTTTATGTATACATTATAAAATTCACTGAAATGATCTACTCATTTCTGAGAAGCAAACACAAGAATGATCCATAAGAAAATGCTTTTGAAAGCATTAAAAAATGTAAGTAAGTCTTTTAAAAATAAATAGAAAAACTGAATAAAATTATTTGTTCTGTTAAAGAAATTTCTAATAGCATGTCCTTCATAATAAAGCTTTTCCCTGTAGTGTTCAAAAAGAAAACTGAGGAGATTAAAAAGTATACTGATTGAAAAAAAAAAAAAAAAAAAAAAAAAAAAAACTTTAATTACCAGAGAAGTCACAACACCATGTATTTGTACATTATTGCAATGTTGAACTATACGGTGTGGTAAGTTCTAAATTACAATATATATTTTTGAAAGACAATTTTACTCCTACAAAGAAAGATGATAATTAATTATGTACCTAAAGAAAAGAGTAAAAAATGGGTAGGATAGCCATGGGATGATTAAACCGCATCAGAAACAAGACAGCTAAAATACTTTTTGCTATGAAAATAAAGATTAAAATAACTGTTTATTAGCTTTCTTTATTACTGAGACTATTTTTGTTTTTTGGTAACTGTTTGAAACATATATATATATTTTTTTTTAAATTTTGTTTTGGGAGGATTGAGTTCCCTGATATTTTTGTGGCAAATTTTTGGGGGGTACACTTCATGCCAGACAAAATTTTATACAAGTTAGTCATGGATCATCAGGGAAAAGTGATGATAGGTGAACAATCACGAGGTAACAACAGTCTTATGACACAATGTAGGGAAGAGAAATGGTTTTTACATTTGAGAGAACATTCAAAGAAATCACAATAAGATTCCAACAGCTTTTCGTTCTTGCTATGCCTTTTTTACTCCGGCGAAATTTGAGTGAAAATATGAATGCGAATTAACTTATGATCTTGATGAAATTAATAAGGAAGAATTATAACATTCGAACTTTTGCTATTTATTTTAGGATTATTTGGATTATGGCGGAAACTGTTTGATTATGACAGAGGCTATCAGCCTAAAAGATAAAACTGGCTCTATTTATGTTACACACAAAAAAAATCATGAAAACTCTTGTTCAGCCAGCCCATCTGTTGGAATCTGAAACCAATTTTAGCACACAGTATACCATAGTTACTGAAATATTACTTAGCTATGAATTTTTTTTCATAGTTAAGATAAATATCACTAGTTCTGAGAGGATATTTTTCTAAATAAAAATCAATTAAAAAGTACTTAAAATCTAAAAATCAATATCTTTTCTCTAAAAGCCCATTTACACAAGGACACAAGTAACTCAGTGAAGTTTCCCTTGTACACTTGTTGCCAAATAGCATTTCACCTGTATGGGAAGATTTTGTTCTTAAGTTGTTCTGAGCTATGAAAGCCCGTCTGAGAAATCAAAGCAGATGATTTTGTTTATATCCTATAGTGTAACTCTGCTGGGCTCACAACAAACATAATAATTTGCAACTTTTTCTATGTCTTTATTTTTCAAGGCTTAAGTTGAAAATTAAGCTGTAACAAATAGAAGGCTTAAGCAGACAGTAGCAGTGATTAAAAATGCAAAATAAATTTCAAATTAATAAAAACAATGAAGTGGGAAAAGGAAAGCAATTAATTGTGAAATGTAAGAATATTGAATCATTCATTTACATAAAAGAAGAAAAATAAATCAATTACTTCATATATAGCATAAACTATAAATTGTTGATAATTAAGATTTATAATGAAACATACATTTTAAATACACAATTTTTTTTCATTCTAAACAACAAAAGTCATAATCATATTTATATAATTAATATTTGATATAAAGGTAAGCCTAATTTACATACAATAATAATAAAACATAAAATTTTTATATATGCAAAAATTTTAGCTATAAATTTTATATTAACCAAATTTTGTGATGACAGAAATGTTAAAGCATTTGTTTTCAATGGGAACGGAGGAACAGAAAATATATCCACTAGATTAGGACTTACAAACTAATGGTCCATGCAAAATTTAGCACTACAGTAAATGTATCAAGTGATTGATTCACTTAATATACTACTAATTTTACTACACTTAATCTAAAAGCTGACAAATCACCAATATTAGGAAACTGGAAATATGATATAATGCAAACAGACAGTAAATTAGGCTTTTCTTGTTTGTCCGGATTCTCAGAACATGAGAATATATATCATCAAACAGGAAAAAATATTCTAGCAGATTTAGTTGATGTTAACAAATGATGTAAAAAAAATATATTTTTCTAGAGCTTACAATAACTAGTCACTTGTATCAAGGAGAAAAAACATATACAGTCAAAAGTCATTAATTCGGACACCCATTATCCGGAATGATCTATAATCCGGACCTCAAAGCTACAAACTTTCTGCGCATGCGTCTCATTGACGCATGCGCGTAAGACCTTTACTGCTGCGAATTTGCGTGTGTGCGTGCGCAAAATACGTTTACGAAAGCGCGTTTAATGTATAACGGACGGGATAAGCTAAGCTAAAATTATCTAATTATCTATTTCAGTTAATGTTGCAGATTGCGTTGTTCCTTAATCTTCGAATTGGATCCGAATTATTATTTTTTCCAGACTGTTCGAGCAATTTTATAAAAGTGAGCTTGAACTTTCGATTATGTCAAATAGAATTTCCGATATATATTTACTAATATGTAAAGGATATACAAAGTGAAAGTATCTTTTGGAGTCCATTAAACAAAAAGTGGAATTGCTGCAAAAAATGGATAAAGGCATATCCTTTGTTTATCTAAACTTTGTTTATCTTTAACGCCGCGGTGGCGTGCGTGCAATGAATTGGACGTTGATCTGTCAGCACTATCCTTATCTTAAGGGCAGATGTTTTTATTTTATTTGGCTTATAATGTAGTATTTCATCTCGATGTACTCGTCCTTGATATGATTTAAATCAAATGCCTCGTCATTATAATTCGCTTCCGATAGCGAAGAAAGTGGGACGAGGTTATTGAAAACAAAAAATTTCGATTAAAATAGTCGTATTCTCGACAGAGCAATATAGGACTTGAACAGCGGAACTTTGTAACTGAACAAGAAAATTATGTCTGTTTATAGAATTAAAGAGAATGTATTATCACATAAAAAACGAAGCAACTTAAACTACTTACATTGAAAGAAATGTTTAATAAAGTAAACAAATTTTGATACCCTTTAGATCATAATTGTTCTTTATTTCGTAAATTACGGTTTCATATTTTTAATTTTATAATTTCTGCATGCCATTTTACCAGATTTAAACTGATGATCTATAAATCCGGAAAAATCGATAATCCGGAATCGCCGAAGTTCCGACGAGTCCGGATTAACGACTTTTGACTGTACTGTGATTTACAAAGAAATAAACTGGGAATTATGATCTGAAATAAATTTTGTTAAAATAATAAAGTAAGCTCCAAATAATTCACAACATGTTATTTAGTAAGCAAAATGGCAATTCAGTAGATTCCATTGCTTTTCAGACATGTGATTCACATATGAAATTTCACTGGCTATTGCCAAATATGACTTCAGCAATACTGCATCCCATCATGGTCAATGATCATGACTCCTGGTGCAGGCACCACAGATGTCAAGAGATACTTGTTCAAATGTGCTTCTTGTGTAGACATATCTTAAGAAATTTTACTATACTGTCCACAGAACAGCAATTAGAGTAATGAAATAATACTTCTGCAGTGTTATCATTGATTTTACTAGCAAAAAAGATGCAGAAAAACATTTTAGAATGTTGGAATTAAAAGTTTGACTTAAAAAAAAAATTTTTTTTTTCCCCTACCTATGTGCATTTCAGATAATTGCTTTTATTATTACAGTACAAAGTCCGTAATCCGGACTCGTCGGGACTTCGGCGATTCTGGATTAAGGGTTTTTCCAGATTATAGATCATCAATTTAAATCTGGTAAGATGGCATGCAGAAATTATACAATTAAAATATGAAACCGCAATTTATGAAATAAAGAGCAATTATGATCTAAAGGGTATCAAAATTAACAAAAAGAAAAAAAAAAAAAAGAAAGAAAAAGTACTGTTTATTTGTTTACTTTATTAAACATTTCTTTAAATGTAACTTTCTTCACTATCGGAAGCGCACATGGGTAAATGCTTTACTGGCTTCATACGCATGCGCATGAAGCCAGTAAAGCGTAATAGATGCACATGCATAAGTTTGTGGCTTTGAGGTCCGGATTATAGATTATTCCGGAAAATGGACGTCCAGATTATGCACTTTGTACTGTATAATACTTTATACATTTTGTTATATTCTGAGAGAAATGGCAAACACAGGGAACAACTCAGGTGGCAAAAGCTGTGGCTATGACACAGCAAACAACCAAAATATATCATGGTAAATAGTAATGTGCTGATTACAAATTAATCCATATTCCTTCTTTCAGTTTAACATTAATGTAAGATTTGAAGTTTATCATATCTAGATGAAAAAACAGTTTAGTTTATTTGGTAATATTAGTATTTTTAAACAAAATTCATATCATACTCAAAATTAGCAGTCTTATGGCTATCTAACATTTTGTTTCTCTTTCATATTTAAAACAAAATCGAGTGAGAGGGGAGAAGAAAGAACCTAGCCACCATTTTACAGCTGAATCAGTCTGAGTAAAAGCACTCTAATTGTAAGTACAAACTCTTTTCCATATATTCATAACAACATCTGTGGGACTATCCGTCAGAATTGTTCTTCCAATTATGAACTAGGTGAATGATTCTTTAATTATAGTGCATACATTGCAAGGGTGTCCATGAGTTAAAAAACAAGGGTTCACAAAGAGTTTTTTTTCATACTTAAATTTTATTACTATCATGTGTAATAAAAATATCACTAAATTTAATGATTAGAGGCTAAACAAAATGAATATCAGGTGAAAGGAGTCCATAAACTCATTAGGGAATCACTAATTTAACACAAAAATGATTATTTTCATGCAAAATAGGAGAAAAGGAAGTGGAATAAATAAAATCACTCTTACCGTAACACATCCAAAGGTTTCTTTCTACTTTCTGGCAATTTTGTTTGTCTTTTGGATTTTTTCCATCTATCTTCAACCATTAGTAAATGATGTTCTTCATCTGTCATTACAGTCGATAGCAGATGAGAGTAATCATCTAAATATCTGCTACATTTATCAGTGACCCTAACCACAAAAACAGAATAAAGGTTAAAAATTCAAAATGCTCTTCACTATAAAAAATAACTGCATTTTTATAACAGTACTTCAGATAATCTGAATCTAGAAATCGACAAGGTGACAATAATTTATTTTAAAATTCTAATTACAATTACTGTATCTGATATTACAGATTAACACTTAAAAGAATAGATATATTTCAGTGTTCTGCTCCATTACTTTAACATTCTCTAAGCAATATAACTTTGTAAATGCCATTTACTGTAATTTTAAGCCCAAACTCAGTTCAATCATAAATCTTTTAAAACTATGTAGATATCTGGAAATATTTAAATCCTTTTTATTGTATTGTATTATTCAGTTATTTATTTATTTGCTCTGTACTTAAGTCCACATACATCTTTTATGCCAGTGTTTATTTCTTACATGGAATTGTTGATTTTATTGTTTTTAGAGCTTAGAATGTAAAAATGGCTTAAGTGAAACAAGAGGTATACTCCTCATGAATTTTGGTGACCGATCTTTCCTGAAATTTCTAGAAGCTTGTGGTACACCAGACCCACATCCCTGTTAGACTATAAATACAACTCAGAGACCTTAGCCCTTTCTGTCAGTGTCTTACAAAAAAAAAAAAAAAAAAAGAAAAGAAAAAAAAAAAAAAAAAGGAGGGGGGAGGGGATAAAGTAATGACCATTTTGATGTATTTACTTATGTGCAATAAAATGTAACTTAAAAATTATTTTGAAAAAATTTTGATTACATGTAATTCATTCTTAAAAAAAATTAAATACATAAAAAATTTACAAACATACCTATCGGTTGAGTCTAAGCATAACTGAGATGACAAATTCAGTCTAGTAAATGACTGCACAAGCTCCTTTTGACGGTGCTGAAGACGTTTTGTCAATGTTAAAAGCTGTTTAGAAAATAAAATATGTATATAAGCACATGTATGTCAGGAAGAATTCAAATGCAATTACAGAAATATCTATTATTTTGTACATACCTCTTTAAAATAACTTTTTACTTCAGCATTTTCTTTCTGAAGTCTAAAAGTATGAATGAATTAGAATTTTATTTTAAAAAATGAATCAAAACCCAAAATAGACACACACACACACACACACACCAAAAAAAAAAAAAAACCTTTTTACACAGACATTTAATGTATATAAGAGTTCACACCAACTTTATAATTTGCAAAATTGAAACCTTATTTGATGCTAATTTAGTTTAAAGAAAAAAGATTCATGTTGAGGAATATAAATGTCATCATTTTTAGAAATAAAATAATCCTAAATAGTAAATAAAAGTAAAATTTTTGTCTATTATAAAACAAACATGTATGTAATTACAAATATTTTTTTATTTACGTCAGTTAATCATGATATGGATAAGAATGTTCATAAGAATTTGGGAGTCATATATTTCTATTCCACTTTAAAAAAATTCTCCCTTAAAAAGTATTTTATCAATGAACATTGAAAATCAATGACAACATGTAATATTTTCATAATTTCTAGAAAAAGTAACTAATATATTAAAACACAAGCTTTTAATATGAGCATTTTACTCACTGGACTATAATAAATGATAGTGATTTTTTATAAGATGCACATATTAATAGTTAAAATACAATTTACAACCTTACAGTAAACTTTTTTGCTAATCTTTTAAAACTATATTTGCTTCATATAAAATGCCCACATTACTAAATTCAACATGATTAAAAAGATAAATGGGGGAAAAAAAGAGAATCGCCTATTTATGACACAACACATGCTAAGACTATATGGTTCTGGCAAAGGATGCTTTCAGTGAGGAATTTCTAAAGAAAGTGAGCTGTATTTACTTTATAGATGAAGAAAAACACAAGAACTTCATGCAATCAGTCCACTGAATTGTGGGTAAAGAATGCAAAGGTAAAAAATATGATGTGCACACCACATAACTTCCTTGTATGGAATATTAAATTATACACATTTTTTCTTGCATTTCATTTAAACTTATTGAATTAAATCTACTTCGCCGACAGCGCATAAACCACAATAGAATAAATGCATTCTTTAAAATTCACTCTATTTGTTTACCATAACGACACTCTGGTGCTAGGTTCACTTAACAGTATTATATTTTGTTCATATTATAACTCAGAATGCACAAAATTTATATCGTTTAAAGAATTATCTAATCGTTGCCACATGTTCTATTCAAATACTATAATAAAGCTAGAATGATGTATAAAAGAAATTAAGCAAACAAAACAAAAAAGAAACAGTTTTTCACAGACGATTGAGTACTTCTCATTCAATTAATTCAGTTCTCACTTCGCAACAAGGCAAAAATACATAAAAAGTCAAAATATCTGTATTAAAAATAACGAAATAAATCTTAAAACACTTATTTCCTCGAAAAAATTACAGAAAGGATTACCGTATTTGACGGCATATAAGACGTACTTTTTTTCCTAAATTTTGGTCTAAAAAAAGTTACCTGCATCTTATACGTGAAGAACGCATGTTAACTTTCAATACTGAATGCTATTTTTAGCCCGGATAAAGATCTAGACACACAAAACTTTTTCTACATCTACATGTGTGTGGCCTTCTAAATAAGGGTGCATCTTATATGCCGGTGCGTCTTATATGCCGTCAAATACGGTAATCATGATTTAATTCACAATAATAAATGAAGGCGTTATCTTTGTTGTTGCGAAGCTAAGTTTCTCTAGATTGGCAACAAATCCACTATTCTGTTGTTTCAAATGTAAACAAGCAATGACCACCATCAAAAAAATTATTAGGCTTAGTGGCACTTAAAGAACTTTAAAATCGTTGATAATTCTAAAAATATTGCATACAGATTTACTAAAGGTATAAAAACCTTAACCGGAAGACAAGAACAACATAATTCAATAATTTTTTTTAAAGCAAAAAATGTACAATTTACAAACGTATAAGAGTAAAGAAACTGAGATCACCGAGCCGGGTAACAGAGGGGATATATATAAATATATTTATATACGTTTGGTGTGGCCGATTGCAACCAAAATACAAGGTGCACATCTACATGTTATAGCAGTCCTATATACAAAATTTCAATGTTCTGAGGCTACTCGTTTTTGAGTTATGCGAGATACGTACGTATATACGTTCATACAGACGCCACGAAAAATTCTCTTCAGAATTCATTTTAAAGCAGTTTTATAATTTTTTTGGAGGAAAAGAGTCTTTTATTCTGTCCTTATGTACAGATATCATGCAAAAACATCGTTAAATTTCATTCGATAGCGGTCAAAATGGATATTTTCGTTGAAATATGCTGCCTGAAAATTTTCGCGATTACAATACTTCCTTTTTACTTCGTACAAGGAAGTAAAAACTACCAGAGTGCTATATCTTTAACCACTTGACCAATGAGAAACAGAGAGAATATATGCACAATTAGTATGTCGAGAGGCTGAACGTTGCTAATATACTGTAACAGAATTATTCATATTCTCATAAGCTGGTTACTATGGTAGTTAGGTTAACTGAATGTAACAAAGCTGACAAGGTCTACTTGTCTAAGGGAAGGGATGCCTTTATGAAGAAATTTTTAGGGAAATTGGCCTGTAGCTTATGAGGTAAGCTAACCATGCAGTCAGTCTGTTAACCTAGGATTGGATTTCCAGTATTCGGCAGTCTTAACTACTCAGCCAGTGCTTGGGCACTTTTGATGATGAAAATAATGGAATATACATATTAGAATCTAGCAAAAAAATAATATCAGAACAAAATGCTAATTCTGCATTCCTTTTTCATTTCTAGCATTATACTGCAAGGCAACACACAGAGATAATGTTGGGGCAAACCTCATTTTTGATACACCTGTAACACTGTTTTTGCTAGCAGTAATGTAGTGAAAAAACTTTCTAGGACAGAAGTCACACAGAATTACTTTAGTGACAATTCAATACTACTGCTAGCCCTATATTAGTAAGAAGATGTAACTCATTATTTGTTGAGGAATCGATGTAAGTAAATTACAACGTTACTAAATACTGAAACAAGTAACATGACAAAATGTTTACCATTGGTTATAAATTAAATTCTAAAAGTACTTCAGGAAGCAATGCTACCATACAAGAGTTATAAAAAATGAATTTTCATGGTTAGGTAATCATAGATAGATCTAATACCAGCATGATTAATAGCACTGAGTAAATACTAGCATGATTAATGCCGGTGGCCAGTGAGTGGTATTTCTGCTATAAAGCTCAGTATCAAAGAACTTCTCAGCTTTATAAACATGTATGGAACGGTTATTTAAACTTTCAGATGAATCGCTTAAAAAAATACAACGTTAGCTGTCTAAATTATTCTACCCTCCATGAAGTTTGGTGAGAAAGATATTATTTAAATATGTTTTTATGTTGAATATTATACAGCAGTTTGCTGAAGGTCTATCCTAATCTGACAATGGTTTCAGAAGTAAAGCAGCATCTTTATATAGAAAGAGATGAAAACCGGGTTTTTTTTTTGGGGGGGGGGGAGCTGATAAAACTCTCATTTTCAAGCTAAATGTGAATCTGACTGCAAGACCAACATTAATGCTGGGCCTTTCAGGATGAATGGCATGAATCAAAAGATAAGACCAATTTGCAAAATTTCCTCCTCCTTAAAAATTAAAGGGTTTGCTTCAGGTAAGCAAGTTCTAGTTTTGGTTATATAATACATTTCTCAAATAATTAACAATCAGTATAGCACACTAAAATTTCTTTATATCTACAGTGCATATTAGAATCCATCTACTTGCATATTAGAATCCAATAAATATGACAATAATTAGAATCATCAAAGTTAATTTTGATATGAATAATTAGAGCAAAGACTGTGTTTGTAAATTATTATTTCAAGTAATCTTTAAATCCCTTCAAATGATTTTATTTTCAACACAGAAATTTATCCCCATACGTTTCTAAGCACTGATTTTAGAGAAAATTTTGAAGTACTATGAAAATACTTGCAATTAACAAAAATAAAAGGCTGAAATTTTCATTTTTTTAAAGAAAATAAATAAATAAAAAAAGACTATATTTATATATATATAAAAAAAAGACTATACTTACTGTTGAATTTCTGAATGCTGGCGCAAATTAAGAGCAGCTAAATTATACGATGATTCCATCGCAATTAGGTAATCTGCACAGTCATTTCTAGAATGCTTCACAGCCAAATCCAGAGGTTTCAGACCACGTTCATTCCTAGTTTTTAGGCTCCCAATATGAAAAATCAATGCCTTAAAAAGATGTAAAGCATAAGAAATACTGATCTACTGCATAATAATTGGATTTACCTTAAATTGCATCAAAAATTTTAATACTTCACAAATTAATTAACTATCAAAATAATAAACTTACTAAAATATCAGCCAAATATTTATCAACAAATAATTAAACTAAACATTTGCACATGAGACATTAAAAACACATTTAAAGGTTACGTGTGATTAAATATAATAGCAGAGGTTAAAATTTAATAATAAAGCTAAGCTTGTTAAAATAAGCCTAAATAAGCTAGCTAAAATTTATTTCTGTCTTAATGCTTAATAATCATGGTTTAACACATTATGCACCATGTGCATCCTAATAACACAGCACATATTAGCCTAGCAAGACACCTGTATTAATCTGGATACTGTGACATGCATTCACATTTAACAGCATATATTCTAGCAGAAAAAATTATAAGCATAATTGAATGAATTAGTACTTTTATGTGGCCCAGTGGTACAAGAAACTTGCGTGGCCAGCAGTTGTCTTCTTCTCACTGATATATAAATAAAGAACAAATCACTACATTTGTGAATAAATCACTGTTGTCTTCTTCTCACTGATATATAAATAAAGAACAAATCACTACATTTGTGAATAAATCACTGTATTGGTTTGATGTTAATGGAATGGACAATTTATGCTGCACAGCACCCTTTTTTCCCTATTTTTAGGAAGGCTATCTGAAACAGAAGAGTCATCCAGATATCCAGGACTATTTTCAAATTTAGATCTATTAGAAGTACCCATAAATGGGCCATCCATCCAGAATACTCATCCATAATTTCATTAGTTTTTCTTCTTCTGCTTCATAAGACATCATGTATAATAAGGACACTTTCAAAATTCATTAATTACCTAAATTTTTGAAAAGTTATAACAAGTAATTTTTGGAAAGCTTCAGAATAATAAATATTATATAAACCTTATAACTCAAGAAGCATGTGAAAAAAAATTCAAACAGAAAATATAACTTTTAAAATGAAGAAGGGTCACATCACTTGATAACAATGCTTTAAAAGTGTTTATGCTACCCAACTAGGATAGTGGTTAGCGATGCTGACTGCTGTACCAAAGTCCGTGGATTCGAATTCCGCAGAAGACATGGATGTTTGTAAATGCATACTGTCTGTGTGGCATAGTGGCACTCTAAATATGCGGCAAGCCAAAAGTCCTCTCAAGGTTGGTGGAGGGGAAAAGGGGTGGGAGACCCTTTGAACTGTCACCCAAGGTGATCTCCATCAAAATTGAAGGTGGAACTGAGCAGAGTCATACTGACATCTGTAAGGTGCTCAAGGCTCTTGCCAGTGGCGTAGCTAGGGTGGGGCAAGGGGGGACATCTGTCCCCGGGAGCAGCATCCAAGGGGCACCAAATTCATGCTACGAAATTTTTTAATGAAACGTTTTCCATTCTTGGCACACAGAAAGGGGCGCAAATTCTTCAATTGTCCCCGGGCGCTGGAAACTCTAGCTATGCCCCTGGCTCTTGCCAACAATAGGTGCAATCTTGTACTCCTTCCCACGAAAAATTTCCCGGGCTTATCTAGATGTTACTGTCAGACAGGTGACATAAATCACAACACAACAACAAACAAGCTTATTCAATAAAATAATAATACAAATAGGAACAAAAAGAATAGGGAAATAGAAAGGTTCACATGAATTGTATTCAGAAGTCCAGAGACTGGCATTTTATGTGCAAAGAAAAAATATATTTAAATTAGAGATTGACTTTGGATTATGCTGTGCATACATCCTTGCTCTTGAAAGCTGGAGCATTGTAAAATGTTCCAGCTTTCTTCACTTATTGAGCCTACCAGCAGCAGAGCGGTAAAGTTGCTGAACACTGGTAGTTTGGTCCGAGGTTCGAATCCCACGAACGGGCTGGCTGCATCGCCATTTTCATGGTTTTTCCCATGTGTAACGTGTATATGAGCCAGTTTTCCTTAGAAAGTCCTCCATGAAGGCATCCCTCCCCTTAGACAGATAGCCCTAGTGTGCTTTGCCGTAATTAAATAAACCACACCAAACCAAACTAAATCTTCACTTATTTACAAGAATGCTTTGAATAAATACAGGAAGTATTTTTGTTTGTTGCATTCATCATGGGAGAGAAAGTTTAACTAAGAATTTACATCATATTTTGGAGAAAGACAGCAGATATCTAGGCAAAAAGGTACAGCAGATATCTAGGCTTTTTGAAGTTCAGAAGTAGTTCCAAATATTTCCAAGATGACCAAGAAAATTGTTGAAAGTGATAAATGTCCGAGGAGAATTGTAATCATCAAAACTGAGAAAAGCATTTACAATATGCTTTTTACTGTACAGGAAAATCACTAAATCACTCTCTATGAGACATCTGAAGAGTTCAAGATACATTATGATTCAGTTGAGTCCCCCTTTTATGGAATGCAAAACTTGAATAGAGACATGTCTGTATCTAGATGTTCATACAAATCCTGTTCTTAGGTGGATAAAATGATAAATTCATAATAAAAACACTATATCTCTTTGTTATAGGAATAAAAACTTTTTGAAAATTATCATAATAGATGACAAACTTATGGTTATGATTCAGAAACTTTACACTAGAAGATCCCACACCCATGAAAGCATCAGTAAATCCAAACCATGAGAAGGACGCTGGTGATCATCTTTTCAGATTAAAAAGGCATCATTCATCATGAATATGTTCTACCTGAAAACTAAGAAGTATTAACATGAATTATTATAGGTTTGACAGATGCAATTTGTCAGAAAAAGCTGACTTGCATGTGGAAACAACACAATTCCAACTCAGATGAACTTGCACATGAGTTTTTGGGCAAGCACACAATTTCCTAGATCTTGCACCCTGTGATTTTCCTCCCTTTCCAAAAATTAAATCCCTCTTAAAAAGGAAGGAGATTTCAAGGTGGAATTTCCTTGGAACCTTCCCTATGAAGCAACTGCTTACTATACCAAAAAAGGGGGGAAGAAGTTCCTGGCATGTATCCAATAGTGCCAATAACAGTGGGTAAAGTTGGTGGCTTCAAGATAGAGACTAGCTTGAAGAAGAAAATTAAATGCCAAATCTGTAACTGGCCTACATTCATTTTCATTAGTTAGTCCTGTTACTTTTTGAGAACATTTCTTGATTCAAAGGAAATATAAAACATTTCCAGTTAACAAGTTCATTGTTCTATTATCTCTTATAACAAGGAAACTTCACTCCTCCCCAAAAATACCGATGTACAGCTTTATTTTCAAAGCATGCCTCAAATAAAAGATGATATTTCACTATAAAATCATACATCAGGTCTATTAAATTATATCATTTCTTGCATTTCCCTTTTTGAATAGCAACTACGAAAGTCACAGTTTCAGAATGCAAAACACTTTTATGATGAACTTAGCTTTTCTTAAAATTCAGCATAAATAAGCATTATTCAAATCATCACACACAATTCTTTGTCTCTGATTTAATTTAAAATAAATTTCCCCAGATTTGATTGTGCAATTTTCCTCCGCTTTTTTCTCTTTATTTGTTTTTTAATGTGTTTAACCAATTTCTAGACATTAATCTTGTTTATTTTATATAATACTGATTATATTTTGTTTATAATTTTCGACAATTTTAAAAGTACAGAATTAATTTAATAGTGTCCATACTTAATAAAAACAGAAGAAATAAAAATTAAAATGCAAGAAATCATTTAATAAAGATAAAACTTAAGTTGCAAACATTAAACTGAAATAATTATATGACTGTAAATTTAATATTCTGAGTCAACCTCTTTAAGTAGTACTATTCAGCTACAAATACATTTTAATGTTTAGAAATAAAAATATGCAAAGAAACCATGAAAATAAAACAAAATTACGTCAGTTTGGGTCAATCCAAATTAATTTATTCAATCGCATAATTTACTTTTAGTTTCAAAGAAATAATTCCCAATTTACTTTAAATGTAGCTTTAAGAAACTTGTTTTGTACAAGCTTAAATAAATATACAATATCTAAAATAAATTTCCAAGCATAATTACCTTCACACAAGCTATGTGACCATACTTAGATGCAAGATGCAAGGCTGTATTGCCTTCTGAATCAACAATACTTGCATCAAGATCTTGTGAGGACATGTAACCTAAAAGCCACTCCACAATAGCATACTGAAAATAACATATTAAGCCACATATAATATAAACATAATAAAATAACATATTTAACATATTAGCCACAGGTTACATACATACATCATACATATGAGAGAAAAAACGGTGATATATTCAAATATAACATTGGTTCATTCACTTTATACACTCACTTCTAAAAGTTAAGCATGGAGAGGAAAATGCTGATTTCCGGAAGCCAGTCAGAATTGAAGAGGATGCAATTCACTGCAGAGGTAGATGAAAGTATGCAAATATGTTAGGTAGCAGCCAATCACGCTTTCATGTCAAGAAATATGAGAAAAAGGCAGTCTTATAAGAAGCCAGCTTTAGGAAGTGTTACAGAAGTTGATTGTAAGTGCTGATAGAAGGTGTTTAAAACTTTCGTACAATTTGCTTTCAAGACATACGCGTTTCTATGACTTCCAGAAGAAGAATGGAAGATTCTGAGTGCTGGCGTGCTGTGGGGCGCATTGAAGCAGGACAGTCGATCACAGATGTTGCTCTTTTCTTTGGCGTTCATCATTCTGCAATTTCACGTTTATGGAAACAATTCCAAACCACACAGACGGTTGTCCGAAGGCCAGTAGCCAGTCGCCCTTACGGCATCCATTGGTAAGACGTTATCTGCAGCTACTGTACACCGAAGATTACATATGAGTGGACTGTATGCTCAGGTACCTCGAGTTTGTGATCCTCTATTCGTCAATCAGGAGGGGCACAATAACAGTGGTGCTAGGAACATGTCAATTGGAATTGTGTCTGACTGGGCAATGTCATGTTTACTGATGAGTCAAGATTTGCTCTGGAGCTACATGACAAGCACATAATGATATGGTGTAAACAACGATCCCGCATTCAGTCCCAAAACATCACCGAACATCAGGCATTCTGAGGCGGAAGCATTATGGTGTGGGCAAGGATTTCATTAGGATACCGCATCGACCTGCACATCTTTAAACAGAGTTCTTTGATGGCTGTCCGATATCGAGATGAAGTCCTAGAACCCATTGTGTGATTGTACACTGCAGCAGTTGGCCCTACTTTTGTTTTAATGGATGATAATGCACGTCCCCATAGAGCTGACATTGTCAATGACTACCTGGAGAGTGAAGGGACTGCGCGTATGGCGTAGCCAGCTTATTCGCCTGACCTTAATCCCATTGAAAATCTTTGGGATGCTCTCGGCCGTACTGTATCTTCACATTTCCCACCTCCAACCACTCTTATTGAGCTGGAAACTGCTCTACAAGAAGAATGGCGATTGCTTAATTCTGCGGTGGTTGACCACCTAATTGAAAGCATGGTCACAAGGTGTAAACTTTGTATACAAATGAGGGGGGATCATATACCCTATTAATGTCCTTTTTTTTTTCATTTTATGCTGTTTATTTTCACTTTATACATAATTCTGTTTAAGTCTACGGTATGCCATTATCTGATAACTAACAAAAATTTAATATTATTTTTATTTCTGTATATAATTATTGATTTTGTTTTATGCATAAATATATATGCTACTTTCCTGCCGAATTTTGTGTCAATCAAAGCAGTATTTGTTGATTTTTTTGCATTTTACATCTTCGTGCTTAACTTTTGGAAGTGAGTGCATTTATAAAGCTATATGTGAAAACATGCATATCAAACATTGCATGCAAAAAAACAGTTAATTTATTAAGTATAAGGAAAAGAAAACATTTTGTGTTTAGGTTAAAATAACACACTGAATAATGATTATTGGAGAGGTCAAACAACAAAAAACAATCTGAAAAAATGTACAGATATTACGCTGATTCTTGTTGTTTGACTTTTCCAATAATAATTTTTTTTTTTTTTTTTAAATTTTCCTGCGAAACCAGCGATGTATTATACATATAACAGTATCTCTGTATCTGTAGATATAATCACATAAGACCTATAGGAATACTAGAAATTATGGAAACTACCACACTATATATAACACAATAGTAATCTAAGATATATAAATATGAGATGTGATAAAGAAGGTCAAAGATTCGACACATTAATTTATTATTATTAAATTTAGCCACCATTCAAACAAGTCTATTATAAACACTGTCAGCACTTTTTATCAATGTTTGAACCATTTTTGAGACTCAAATAAATTACATTTATTGTATTAAAATATTTTTCAAGTACCAACCTTTAGATTTCATATAGAAAATAAATAAAAATTTGAATGTTTTACTTTGCAATATTATTATTATTGTTTATGTATATTCTGATAAGTATTTATTAAATGAAATTAATGTATTTAAAATATTTATTTTTAAGAAAAAAATGTTCATTTCGTTTAAAAAAAATCTGGCCTGCCAGCTGTTTTCAGATCATGTATTTTGCCTGCATGCAATCTGTGTCTGAAACCACTGCAATACGAGTACAAAACAAAATTCTGTCAGCTTAATATGAATCTTTACTAAAAAGTAAAAGTTTTTTAAAAGTGGTCCATAACTAGTTCTTGCAGTAAGCATATTCAGACCAGAGGGTTTCAGGTTTTTAAATGCTTTTCCCCCCAATGCTAAGATTTTATCCTAAGTTTTGGGGGAAACATGGGGGGGGGGACACTGCACTTACCAGTTGGGTTAAAGCCAAAACATGAAACTATAAGCCTGTTACTATGCAATAAAGATAAATAACAATGAATTTTTTTAAAATGTGCCTTGTTGGAAAAGACAAGTTTTATAATCACTGGAATAAATTCTTTATTATCTTTTACCATCAGAAATTTTTAATTTCCCTATAATTAGGGATTAAATGGTACATACATGTGACTAACGTAGAAGTTTCCTGATTTTTACAGGAAATAATTTCCTTTACCCCCCTTTTTTTGATGACAGAAGTCCCAGGGAGATATTAATTAACTTATTTATTCATCATCATTTTTCATTTACTCAGTTACTCACACAAGCAGTAAATCAATGGCAACTCTTTTTAAGAAAGAGCACCTTTTAACTTATTCTCAGTTAAGATGCACACGACATTTAGAAAGCAGAGATATTTGTCCTCTTCTGTTTATATAGCATTCAAACTTAAAATTCATAGAATGCAAGAATATTTCAGATTTACCTGTCCATATCGAGCAGCCACATGCAGCAAGGACCTAGAATCAGGCTGAGGTAACAACTGACACTTACTAACAGTATTGTGAATAAGCCACTGTACTGCAAGCAAACTGCCATGCTACATAAAATAAAATTACATTTTAAACTGATACATTCACTTTTTAATCAAGCAAATATAACATAAGCTATCTAAGAAACATAAGTACTTAAATTACAAGAAGCAAATTTATGCACGGGAAGCAGTTAGCACAGTATGTGTTCATACATTTAAAAAGATATTCTGGAGTAGTAAACTTGGTCTGTTTCAAGATAAGCACTATGTCTGTCTCATTTTTAGTTATACTTTAATCAGCTTCACAGACAAAAAAACATCAATACCATATACAAAACTCTACGCACAAGGTATTCAAAATGCCCTTTTGAACATATTTTTGCAATAATATGTATGTGCTTAAAATATAATACAAATTAATACGAATACTGTTCACACTCACAGAAAGCAGAAAGTTCATAAGTTTTTTAGTGTTTCTGCATTTTCATTACTTGGCAACAGTGCAAACAGATTGATTCTTTCTGATAATACCCCACGCTCTTCATAACAGAATGTTATGTTCTGATGTGGCCAGTGCATGACCTCCCAATAATTTCATGTTTTAAATAGCAACAAGCTTTAAGTAAAACATCACTTCTCATGATCCCCCCCCTTTTTTTAACTTATCTGTTCCAATACATAGAAAGTCTCACAGAATGAAATTTTGGGTAATATTTTATTAAGTATAATTGGCCACGTATAAAAACTAGTTTTTCTAAATTTAATCAGAATTATAGCTGAATAGTGACTATCATGCATTCTGGTTAAGAAGTAAAGCAACAACAGTTTTTGAATTTGCTATTTGCTCTTATGCCTCATTGTCATCGACAGTACAAGAGGATAACAAGTGTATTACATGGTAACATGTTTGTATTACATGAGTTTTGAAGTTCTGCAAGTGAAACACCATTTTAAAAACTGATATGCTGCTGTAAATAAATAAACATCACATCTAGATGTAATAGAAAAAGCCTTAATACGTGTTGCATTATTTTCGATTAAACTCTTATCATAGTGATTCTATATTTTTCCAAGAAAATCTTAAAGTCCCGTCTACACGCAGCCATTTTCTCTGCTGACTTAGCTGGCCGACAATATCTGAGATAGCTCGCTTGTCCACACGGAACAATTTTCTCGTTAGAACAGGAATTCACTCAGCCAATCACTGTGAAAGGAAGTGTTCCCACCCTCTATAGCGTCACACTGTCTACGACTTGTAAAGAAAGTTTACGGTGTTGTCAAATAGTCAAAATAATGGATGAGTGTTTTAAATTGCTACTATAGATACAGCTACAATTTTGAACTTAGCTACTGCTACAGAAGGGGGGAAAAAGAAAATTGTTTGGAAATTGGGTAAACGACGAGAAATTCATGGTGCCTCTGTAATATCCTGCTCCGGAAGTTGCATAGTAAAGACATGGTACAATTCGGAAAGTATTTATGGATGATGCCGCATGATTCTGTTTTTTTGCTAAATTTAGTTTGCAGCAAAATTTTAAAAAAATATGCTTTTCTTTTGTGTACTGAGTACACAGATTACTCCTTTTTTTATTTTATTTATTTATTTATTTTTAAATTTCATTTTCTGGCACTCATTTGTGCACTAAAATCTTGAAATAATAAAATAACCATATTTCAGAAAAAATAAGTAACTACTGTGCTTCAATCAAAACCTTTATTAATGAATAAATAGACAATAATGTCATAAATATCAAACCAGTATGAGTAAAAAGTAGTAATAAAGAATAAAGATTACTACATTACAAAGCAACAGTGTAATTTCAATGCAAAAATTTCAAATAAGAAATATCATAAAGGTGCAAAGTCTCAAGTAGTATATTTATTGAAAATTAAAAAACTAATACCAGCATAATTAAATAACTACTACAGATTGAAAACTACGATCATATCATTCTATCAGTTAATCAGCTAATAAAATTTAGCAATATTGTATTAAATTGGGCTGTAATTTGTTTTCGCAAAACTCAATTAACACAAAACTGAGTTTGCAACTTGTGACTTTCTTTTGACCAGTAGATCTAAAACACTTGGCAACGGCCATTCGAAAAATAAAAAGAAAGGCGTTAAAATTCAATAAACACCACACCTGTAGGCGAAAAAATAAAAAGTGACTTTTAAGCCATGCAGTTCCGAATTTAGTGATGGAGAAACTAAATTAAAAAGTTCTTCCAAGCGCAGAAAGTCCAAAATTAAGGTGGGGGATCGAACCCACGATCTCGATGTACGAAGAAAGCCTGCTCTGCTTATTACCACTGGACTATGATCGCTCATGTAGGAGATGTCGGAAAAGCTATGTACTTCGTCACCTGATTAACTCCCATTTTCGGCGAAGTCAATGAATTTCTGCGCTGCTTTAAATCGGCCCGTAATTTCTCGATTTTGCTTTCTGAATTTTTTCAATAAGTGCTATTACAGTTTCAAGTAGTTTCTGAATATTTTCATCTAGTACCCATGACATGGTATTATTAATAGTTTTTGGAACTTTTCTTGAAGGTTAAAATAGTTTTCACCCCGAATAGAAAATATTTGAATATATAAAGTAATGGGGAAGACAAAGCTTACCAAAATAAGAGAATCCCTTAATTTTTTATTTTTAAAATTTACATTACTCGTGTCCCACAACACTACATTTTCTCTATAGAAATCTATTAGTTCAAAAATTTGAGTTTTGCTCCAATGAAATGCAGCCATGTTTATTATTCCAAATGAAGAGAAAAGCACATGATCACTCAAAGCAATCTTATTGGCTAGAGATTCCGATTTTATAGTTCGCTAGTGAGCAGTGAACACCAGTTCTGAAATCGCGGCAGAGAACATGACCGATTTTTGGCGCATGCGCAGATCTTTAAAATTGTTGCTCTATGAGAAAGTCGGCTGAGAAAATCGCTTCGTGTGGACGGGCCTTAAGAGTTTCATATAAAGTACCACTGCCGATGTATCATACACAGTCAAAAGGTAATATGCTGTTCTTAATCATGACTGTATAAAGCATATTAGTGTTTTTCGATTTTAAATTCGAAAAGTTGTGGATTATATTATAATAAAATACAAAGTAAAAAATCCGGACCACTAGCCAAGGTAAAAAATTTTAGAATTTTTTCCTTTACAAAATTTAGGAATTGAGAAAAAGACAGTGGGCCACACAAGCGAATTTTCTCCCAAGTAACTGAAATTCCTATATGGCACTTGAAAATAACTGCTGGCTGGGAAATTGCAGTGTGGCCCAAGAAAATACATCGACTGTAGTTGTATTGACATTAGGCATGAGCACACTTTCAGGTTGACCACTAGTATAGCATACAGTATTTCTGCTAAAAACACTCAGGTCTGCGCAGAAAATTAATGCCTGTTTCTTTTGATTGCAGAAAAAGGAGGCCAATTTTAAGATTATAAAATTTTAACTAGATAGTGTGTAGTCTGTTCAAAATGCTGAACTTCACACTGCAACAAAAGTATAAACTTACATATTAGGAGTATTAAAGTGTTCTATAAAAATAATAATGATGATGTAAAATTTTGTTAACTTGTCAAAAGAAGCAGAAAATCACTTCATAGGTTACATACAACTCACGGAATGTTGAGTGTCCAGTTCTGATTTTAAAAAAATATGTATTTACTAAAGGAAATAAACATACATTAAAAAAAAGACAAAGATGAATCAAAATCTCTCAACAGAAGTAAAGAAATATTTATAACACACTGCAAAATAACACATACTCTCCTGATATATATATGTATATGTCTTAGAATATTTTTTGTAACACCTTACATTAGTATATATACTCACATCTTGAAATATGTCCAAGAAATTTAGACAACAATTTATTTTTTCTCTTAGCAGTTTTGGGAAATTTAGGCTTTCAAAGCCAAACCCTTGATCAGTTGTCATAAGCTATACGAGTCCTGTTCACAAGCAATTCAGAATTATCTTTGTTTCAAAAAATTATTTGAAATGTTGGTTTTAGCTTTCTCTTGGCTTTGTTCAAATGAAAGTCATTATAAATATAGTAAATCACACCAGGGCTGCCTGCCTAAAGGGAAGGATGCTTTTGTGGAAAACTTTCTAATGGAACTAGCTTGTATTCATGTTACAAATAGGAAAACCCACAAAAAACCAACCATGCAGTCAACCATTCACCTGGGATTGAATCTAGGTCAAACTCCTAATATTCAGAGGTGGCACTCAGTTTGGGTATGATACAGCTTTTATTTTCATGAGCAAAGAAACGACAATCCTTGAAATGTTAAAAGCTTATACACTCATTTTCAAATCATCAAGAGAAAATAAAAATATAAGAACTCTCTTCTTTTTAAAGCTTATTATAAAACGCATATGTGAATGGACTCACATACAGCTCTTTTTTGGGGGGATATGATGCTAGTAGTCGATAGTGATGTCTACAAAATGACTGTTAATTCAGGGAACTTCTTGAAAATTAGATTTCCTGCAATATCTTTAATAACAATGAGGATCCGTACTGATAATGAGAAAATAAAACAAACCTTGTTGGCAAATATTTTTTTCTGGTCTAGAAAAATGCAAAATTGTTCCAATTAACTATTAGGTTATCGAGAAAGTTCTCTGGGTTTTTTTTTAAATCAAACAGAATTTTTTCTCCCCTTTTTTTAACTGCTGAAAAGGAGTGATCCTGATTGAAGCAGATATTTAAAAACAGCCTTCCCTGCTCATGTTGTGTATTTCTACCATATATTGTGGCATAATTTTTGTTTTAGTGTAGCAATAAGACAGAAGAACCCAAAATAGAGTTTTCTTTTATTTTTAGAAAGGGAAAAAAAAAAAAAAAAATGTTTGTCCAGAATGCCTGCAAAATTTATCGACAAAGTGCTGTTTCAGTTGATAAGAAAGTTTTGATCAGAAAGAAAATTTTAGCCTCATATGTAAGGTCTATCAGAAAATTCTGTCCAATAATGCTGTTTCAACATGCATGCATGCGTTCATTTGAGACATATATCTATTTATCATAGCATTTATAGACATGTGATCTTCCATATTATATGAAACAAAAGTTTCTGATGCCATTATTAAATGAGATGTGATCATGCAAACATGGCTACCAATAAAGTTCATTTACACTGGTTATCATAAATTAAGGAAAAATCACGATTACTGAAAAAGTTACATGTAGAATTTTATGAAACTTACCCACAATACACAACACATAGTAAGGTATCAAATAACATAAAAAGAAATTACCAGACAATTATGGTAGTATAGAAATCAGCACATGTATAAAATGAACAAATCGAAGGTGTCAGTTTACTATAGGAAAAGTACCTTCAATAGGGAATATGGTCGCCTCTAGAAGCAATACAGCACATACAGTGATGTGTGATGCTTTCAATTATGCGGTCTATCAGTTCCATAGGAAGTGAGAGCCATTGCTCTTGCAATGCTGTTGCAAGCGTGGCAAAGGTCTGAGGGGGCAGACTGAGAGCAGATAGACGTTTCTCTAAATCATCCCAAATGTGCTCGATAGGATTCAAGTCCAGGGGTCGAGCTGGCCACTCCACGTGCATAATTGTTTCCTGTTGAAGATAATCTTCTATGATGGGAGCCCTGTGTGGTCTTGAGTTATCATCCTGTAACAGGAAAGCATCACCTATTGCCTCCGCACATGGGTGCACAAAAGCATCAAGGATGTCATCTCTATAAACCTGAGCATTTACGGTTTCCATTGGAAAGACATGGAGGTCTGTGCTGCCACCCCAAATACAGACACTGCCTCTTCTGTATACATCTCTTTAACAGATGTTTGACAGATGATAATGGGTACCAAGTTCTCTCGATATCAAATAACGCCTACTATCACTTTCTAGACTAAACCTGTCCTCATCCGTAAAGAGAACAGCCCTCCACTGATTAAGCATCCATTGGACATGTACTGAAAATGGTCCCTCCTAGGCATGACGTGAGCGGCACGCAAATGGCTGGTCATCTCGCATACAGACCACCTTCATGAAGCCTTCTACGCACAGTTGATGTTGACACTAACCTTCCGGTGGCTGCAGCAAGGGAGGATCTAAGAAGAGTCAGAGTAGCGGTTCTGTTCTTGCATGCACATAATGTCAAATATCGGTCATCGGCGCTCGTCGTAGCAGTTGGCTGTCCTTAGCTGAACCTCCTAGAGGCTGAATCTGTAGTTTGAAATTGCCTCCAAAGTCTATGAACCACAGAAGGACTCACATTTAGCCATCTGGCCACTTCTGTTTGACTTTATCCTGCCTCTAATCTCCCAATGGCTCTCCATCGTAGTTCTGCAGGCAAATGATGCCCGGAGGTCATTGTTACGAATTGGCTATCTCAGATTTCTGATGTCACTATCACAGTGAAATATGTGGGCTTGCTCTCAAACATGGACTTTTATTCTCCTCGAAGATGACATATTCCGAGTGCAGCGCCACTAATTTGCATATTGCAGTTTTAATCAGCTACTCTTACTTGTGAACATATTCAAATTTTACATGGTTTTGCTTATTTTTTAGGGAGTTATCGCTATTTTTGTGATTTTTCCTTAATTTATGATAACTAGTGTATAACACTGTATTTTGAACAAATTCTAACAAGGACGTAACAAGAACTACAAAAAAGGCGTGTCGAAATTTAGTGCAATTTTTTTGGAGCAAATGATTTGAACCTTAATGACCAGCCACCCTCTGGGCAGCCATCTTTGATCCATGACAATATTGTCTAGATCATGGTACAGCAAGATCCTTTTTTGACAACACTGGTGACATCAGAAAAGCTTAACTCTGTTACATCCATACTTTAACAGAGCAGAATATGCTTTCTGGAGTGCTACAAAGAAATAAAGGCATTCCTTCTTTGAAATGGCTCATTAATGGAGATGAGAAGTGGAAAATATAAAATAATGATACAAGAAAAACAAAATGGGCTAAACCAGAAGAACCTCTTTTAGTGACATCGAAAGTGGGCTGCATTAGTAGTAGATTTCTAAGTTTATTTAACAGCTCCCGATTGAAGAATTTTTTTTTTTTCTGATCATCAGTAATATGTTTAATCAAAATTCAACTGTATACACAGATATACATACAAACAATATATTTGTACTTACTTTAACAGCAAGAGCCACTGGAGAGAAACCATTTTTGTTTTCATCTTTAAGGGCATCTGCATGATGCTTGTTATGTGTGCATAACCAATTTAGGCACTCAAAATTATCATGAACCGCACAAATATGCCATAAATTATTCCCATGGTCATCGGATAAATTTCGAACAAGAGCTGGATCAATTTCTTTTAAACTTTGTTTCTATAAATAAAATCATTTTGAAATAAAAGCAATAAAAATATAATTAATTTAAATATATTTTAAAAATAAATATTAATAAGCATAAAATACAGTCATTGGCTTAATTCATTGCTTCATTTATTTTTCTTTTATACTATGTAAGCACATTTTAGATACTTAATGTAAATTTTCTTGCAAGTTATTACATATATTGTTTAAAAGTATATTTTGCATATTATTTTGAATTTCATTCCTTTTATTTTAAAATGAAGAGTAATTATTATATTTCCCTTTTATTCTTTGTTATATCAACAATACTAACAATTAATTCCTTTTTGTCTCATAATACTGGAAACTTCAATGAAAGGAACTTCAATGACAGGAAGATAATTTGAAAAGCATATCAAAATGTCACTAATAAATAAATTTGAAAAATTAAATTTTTATGCTGCATTTCTAAACATCCCAATTAACCAAAATAAAAAAATTTAGTTAAAAAACGGTTAATTACAGAAACTTTTTTCAGAAAGATTACTCCAGATATAACATTTATTATATAATATAAATAATTGGTACTTTTTCGTTTTGCCGGCGCAAGCGATAAAGTCGCCAATAATGGCACAACTGATGCCAAACGGAATATTCATGCTAGTAACCTTTTAAGCATCATTTTCAAAACAAGTCGCAGCTTTTTCTTATCAGACTGGTTGTTTCTTACAATACTGGCATATAGAATACATAGAATTTTTATCAGATAGTTCAGTTTATGTCTAAGGCCATTTTTGGTAATTAAGTCAATTGGGATGCAATCATAGCGCTTATCCGAAGCCGAAAATAAAGAAAAGGTAAAGTCAAGGGTTAAATTCATCCATTCTAATGAGAATGCATTAGCGAAGTAAAGCACTGCAGTTTTACATAATTTCTGAGTAAGCTATTCGTACGAATTGAAATATTTCTTGCATTTAAACTTGTGTTCCAAATTAAGATTTAACTTGAAATGAATGTAGATAATTACTGAGAGCATTAGATTTTTGTAGAGTAGTTTACGTGAGATGAGATCGCTTGGGGTCACGTGATATGAACCGGCTAATCAGGATTTTGAACCATGAAAGCATAGTAAATTCTTAAATTAATGTCTTTTTACAAATTTTTTGTCTTTTTTTTTTTTTTTTTTTTTATTTTTTTTTTTTTTTTTTTTTTTTTTTTTTTTTTTTTTTTTTTTTTTTGTTTTTTTTTTTTTTTTTTTTTTATTTTTTTTTTTTTTTTTTTTTTTTTTTTTTTTTTTTTTATTTATTGGCTTTTTATAAATTTTAAGCGATATTAAAATGTTTATGCCTTCTTTTTTAAAAGAATTCTTAGAACTAATATTTTTTTAATATTTTTATGTGTTATACTGTATGTTGTCACCAATAAAGTCTGCTTGGCGAGATTTGCGCCGGCGAAACGGAAAAGTACCATAATTTGTATTATATAATATATATATTATATAATTTATATTATATAAATATCCTTCATAAATTTTTAAATAAAAATTAATTCATGAATTATTAATGATCAGAAAATTTACAAATTCTAAAAATTCTGAAAAATCTGAAATTTTTCAGATTTTATATTACTCCCAAAAGTACTTTTTTAATGTTTAATGTTTTAATGTTTAATGCTACTTTTATTAAATATCATGCTCTTTGTACTTAAACCATAAAATTTAATCCAACAGCAATATCACAAAAAAATTTTAAAAACAGCATATCTTTAAAATTTCTGATAGACATTGAGATAAAAAAATAATCCCCCCCCCTTCCGGTAGTGTTGCCATTGCTCACTTTGAAGTCGTCGAGTTTGTTGATCAATAACAAAATATGAAATCGATAATAAAGCAAATTTCCAAATTAAGACTTCCCGATGCCCATATTCAGTGGAAGATTATGTTATTCAAAATTTGATGGCTCTAGGTACTGTTGTTTTATCACAATGCGAGAAACATACATACATTTATGCAGATTCTTCATTATTTAATTTCTTTAAATATAATGCAAGGCGGTAATATTTAGTGGCAACAATTTGAAAAAGCGAACCAACATTTATAGTGAACCAATGCAAAATGACAAAACGAAATTAATAGCCCCCCTTTGGACTAAAAATTAGAGAATAAACGGATTTTCACGGTTATTTGTTTTTTAAATGTTCCTAACTGTAACACATAACAATGTTCTACTGTATTTGACATATCTGATTTATATCCTAATAATTTACTGCACAAAGTGCATCTATATGCCCATGAATGCATCCGCACAAACATACATATATGCCGTTACATTCACAAATCATGGAGAGTCTTTAAAACAGAAAATAAATATTCTGTTACCAGAAGAATACAGAATGAGAAAAATTATTACATTTTCTTAGTGGATGATGGGGCAGTGTTGAATAATTCTCACATTAACCTATGAAAGGTTCTGCAGCTAAACTTTATAAAGAGAATTTAAGAACTAAACCTGACATAAATAAAATACCGTTAGATGCACCAATTTGAAACAGACTAAATGAGTAAAGAGCTATACAGACTGTGTTCTATTCAATACTTAGTACTAATTGGGACTGTTAAGGTTATGTTATCAATATTTATTAAGTATTTTTACATTGACCATTTTGAACATACTCTCATACTGAAGTGAATTGAACTGAAGAACGTAATTTGGCTGTATTCTTATTCTATTCTTATTAGTTGTAGTAGTTGATCAATAATGCAGACATGTTTGTGTGATAAATGTTAAAGATTTTACTTTAGTTGCTATTTTGGCAGTGTTTACCACACAGTAATTATTATAACTTTGTGAACACTACACAGTTCTCAGTTAACTTTGTAGTTCACAAAGTTATGCTTTGTTATGTGTTCACAAAGTTATGCTATCATAAACTTATGCTTTGCCTTGGGCCTAAAAACAGATCATATCTTAAAAGACAATGTGAACTTTGTTAACGCAGATCAGTAGTTCAGTTTAAATATTACAGAAAGAACTTATATACACAAATTCTATTACACTATAACTAATTATGTAATTACAAATGCATACAACACATAATTTCAATTTGAATGTAATGAAAAATCGATCCAAAACAAAAGTTTTCGAAGAGGCAGTTTTTGAAAATTATTTACCATTTAAAAGTATGTAATTCTAAAATTTATAACATTTATTATTTTGCAATGTTTTGCACTTTTGAGGTTTAGTACATGAAAGAGAGAAGTGATATTACAAATGTATAGTACCGTATATACCCGCGTATAAGTCTAGATATTTTGGACAAAAAAAAGACTTCAAAGTGGGGAGGTCGACTTATACTCGGGGCCATAAAAATTAAAAGAATTGGAAGTTAAAAAATTTCTTTATATAATGCAGTTGTTTTCTTCCCGCACTAAAATTGGACGACTTATCAAATAAGTCACTTACTTGAAGTAATTTCATGACTTAAATTATGTGACGAACTAATCACAGAGTTTCATACTTTAACTAGAGTAAGTTTCGATTAAACCAAAGAATTTTCGGCCCCCGAACAACCGATCAATATCGAGCAATAAAAGAGTTTCACCAACACGCCAAGAAAAGAGAAATGCAGATAGTTTTTACGTACGTATAAGTCTTTATAATAGTTATTGTTCATTCATGAAATACTTTTGTTAACAGGCATACACATCAAAATTAAAAAAAAAAATAGCCCATGTAATAACTGAACAGTTTTGAATATTTCTTTTAACTTTTAATAAGGGAAAATGCAGATAGATTTTATGTACGCGAATCTTTTCCGGGACAAATTCTAGAAGGTACATACGATCATTTTTCCCCAATTATTCTGCGTTCTATGAAATGTTTGGCGAATCTGACCATGAATCGGATGTTGAAGGATTTTGATTTTGTTTATTTACCAAGGTATTTTTTATCGTATATTTACTTTTTTTTCTCAGATGATTTTGAATAAATGTAGTACTTAAAAAAAAATTTTTCGAAGTTTCTCGATCGATTTCGGAAGTGTGTGTGTGGGAGGGTCGACTTATACACGGGTTTCTTATTTTCTACGAATTTTTTATGTTGAAGTGGGGGGTCGACTTATACGCGGGTATATATGGTAATTCAAATAAATAAAAAGGAAAGACACAAAAATGGTCCTTTTTTATTCTACATGCACAAAGCACACACCTCATGCTGCTGCCTCAGAGAAACAGAGAAGCATGTAATTCAGCTTTATTCAAGAGAATTCACTCAAAACGAAAAAATATAATATCTGTAATTATTTATATAGCCCTGATTGTTACTGGTCACTTTATGGAAAGGCAGAAGCACGCTTTGCAACGAAAATTAGAGATGTTTACTACTTCTTACACTCGGGCAGTGGCGGCTCGTAATAAGCACTGTGGAACTGCAGCACCCCCTATTTCCACTTATTATTATTTTTAATATTTAATATAGTGTGCCCTTTAGTCTTTAATTCTTTCTTTATACTTTTACAATACATAATCCTTAAACTTAATGTCAGTAGCCATTCCCCTTTTTGTGAAAAAGGTATGAAAGTCTTTGTTTGGAACTGCACGCTTCACAGTTACAGCGACGTGGTGTTTGGCTGTTCTGCGCACGCGCACACAGAAAACAGCACGCGAACCGGGTAGAGAGAAGAGCACTGTCGCTTTTGCAGTGCCAAAATTTTGGCATGTTGTTGAAAACGTGATTTCTTTTTACTCCGCATGTGTGGTATTCCTCCACAAGATGGAACTTCATCGGACCATAAACAGAGTTCATGAAAATTTGCAACTTTTAAAAAATTGCCTTACTGAAATTCACTCAGCATCAAATGCAGATCAAACTATTGCAAAAGCAACAGGAATTTTAAAATATCTAAATGATGATAATTTCAAGTTTTGGTTAGAGCTTTTTTATCAGATGCCTCATGTTGAAATAATATACAACTAAATGCAATCCAGAGAAATTAGTGTGTTTAAAGTTAATGAATATATAACAAATTTCAAAACTGCTATTTTATATTTATAAAACTCATAGTACTGTGAGAATTTTTAAAAGACACTGATGGCAGAAGCTAAGGAAATATGTGACTTTATACTATGTATTGATATAATGCACAGATATTCTCCAACTAAACACTTAGCAGCTGCTAAATTGTTTAACAAGAAATGCTTAGTTTTAGGAATGAACATTCTACAGAAGAAATAGTACTGACCACTGAAGCATATCCAATGATTGACAAAGAAAAGCTTGAAACTGAACTAAAAGTATTCTATTGTTGGTCTTATATCCAAATACTAAAAATTAACTGAGCTACTGAAATTAATCCTCGAAAATAATCTAGATGATGTTCTTAGTGAAATTATGAAACTGATAAAAATTCTCTTGAAAGTTCCCATGACTACATCAGAGGCAGAATGCAGCTTTTCAACATTGAAAAGAATGAAAACTTTCTAAGTAGCACTAGGAATTCGGAAAGACTAAATGCACTTGCAATTGCTTAAAGAAAAATTTCCTCAGCTATCATCCAGAGATCAAGGAGAAAATTATTGATCTTTTTGCACAAATTAAAACAACAGGAATGGATTTCATTTTTAAATTAATAGACAAAGATTGAACTGTAACAATTTTGGTTAAAGTAATTAAGAAATGTTTAATTTTTTTTCTTTTAAGATTTCATGAAGTTTCAAAATAAATTTTCTTTCTATATTTTTTTTACAGATTTTTTTTTTAAAAAAAAGGTTAATTTTTTTTGGAACAGCACCGCCCCTACTAATTTTAGCCACGAGCCGCCACTGCACTCAGACTAATCACATATGGATACAGATTATACTTGGAAGAACCACTGCATAAAATATATGATTAAAATTATTTCTGAGCCATGTACTTACCATCTTTTCCACATCACCTTTCTTGGCAGAAGCAAAAACTTCTTGAATCCATTCAGGAACAACACTTTTAGTCCTGCTTCGAAATAACGGTTTCGGTTTAGGTGGCTGAGATGTAAATGGATCTAACACTGTCAGAAGGCTTTTTGATTTTGAACGTGAAGGGAATTCAATTCTGTTATTTCGGAAAGGCACCCAGTGCTCAGGTGCATCTTTTACTTCACTATCAGAAAAACAAAGACGAAATGCATCATCTTGCTCACATTTTTCTCGCACAGGTCTGCGACTTCGTGTTTCTTCTTCTACAACATTTGAAGAAACAGCTTTGCGCAAGTACTTTAGCGTCCTTTTCAAGGAACTGCAGGTGAAATTTCCATCATCTACAAAGTTCTGAGAATGAAAATCTCTAGGTATTTCATTTTGAGGTCTAACTGGTGTAAACAGTGTGGACCTGTTAGTGGTTTTAGAATTATCCACTGGCAATTTTGATGTACTTGGAGCTGGGATATAATTTGATCGTAGTCCTCTATCTCTTCGAGGCACAGACTGCCGAACATGCTTTGCCTTGGGCCTATATAAATAACGATTAAGAACTGCTGACTCACTAACAGCAGATGAAAATCCCCCCTCATCTTCTCTATCAGTAGCACCTGAAGCTAACTCACTCAGAGTGTCAATTATAGAAACAGTTTTAACTTTTCCAGTATTCCTCACATGATGTCGTTTTGGCACATCAACTGGAATGTCATAGTAATTAAGTAGGCATAATTCATTATCATCAAGAATAAATTCTTCAAGCATTTTATTATTTTGGCAAAATCCATTTGATATATCATTATCAGGCCAACAGGAAGACTTATTCTCATATGGCAAGCTTTTGTTGAAGGATTTTGAGAAACAATGGCTGTTTTTCCTTTGTTCCTGGAAATAATACAAAATATAACACCTTAAAAAAGCAAATACTATATACACATAATTTAAAAAAAACATCAATCTATAGAGTAATCACAAATTATACATCATATTTCTGTCATAAATTCTAAGGAGAATTTCTGGTATTTGTCATTTAAAACAACAATTAGCCCCAACTGCCGAGTTATTGTACATATCTAATCAATAACTGTCACGATATGCCCCCCTCAACCAAAATCAAAATGTCTAGAAATTAAGAATAATGTGATTCTCCTGGCATGTCAACACATATATTTGACAGTATTATCATCAAGAAGTTGCTTGTCTGCATATCCACACCCATTAACAAATACCATTAAAACTCAGGTACAATGCTTATGTATGCATATTGGTTTAAGAACAACTACAGGCAGATAGACATACATGCTATGTTTAAATTCTAAATTCCTCATCTGACAAGAGAATAAAGATTTAGCATCACTTACAACAAAGCCTGAGTCGAATGGATTGGTTAATTAAACTCCAAATAGATGCTGATTATTGCCTAAGAAGAAGAAAGCTTTTATGAAAGATTTTCTATAGAAAATTCAGTTGCATTAGCCTTGTGCACATGGAAAATATATAAAAATATAGGTCACACACTGATAGTACAGCTGGAAGTTAGCCAGAAAAGTTAAATTCCTATTTCAGAGGCAATACAAATATTCCTAAGATTTCTCCTGTCGTGTAATACGCATGTTCTTTCTTTATTAATTACTGAAAATGTTCTGATGCTCTTTTTGGGTGTTTATGTCTCTTATAGTAATTAAAAAATAATGAACTACACCAAGAATTTATCAAAGCAAAGTACGAACTAAACTAATGCATTTCAGCAAAACTAGCTGCCCATTTTTGTAAATGGACAGAGCTTTCCACTCATCTATAAAGGCATCATGGTAATCAGCTTAATACGGGCAAACTATATCTATCCATCCAACCTCTTCCCTTATCAGAATGAGAAGCATAAATTTATATAATTGCATGAACAAACTGAAAATTTGCAGTGCTTAGCTGGTTGTTTAAATTGGATTTATACCTCTCAGTTCATTTTTAAAAATGACAAGAATAGGCTGGCATAGATATTCGGAAAAAAAATAGAAGGTTGACACTAAAAGTATGCACGGCTGAACATTACTTACAAGGATTGCAGATAAGCAATAACAATTAGGAACAGCAAAAAAACCTAAATTTATTACAAATGAAGTGTTATTATTATTGATTAGTGCCTATATAAAATATACAGATCATTTAATATGTTTATAATGAATTTTATTTGCATGTACTTAAATTTTAAATGGAAAAAAATTACATAAGTTTTAAACTTCTATTCTTTAAAATCTTTACCTAAATAAATTTCAGAAGGATGTCTGAAAATCTATTAAACTGAGTAATGCTTTCATAAAAAAGTTTTTTCGATGGCATTAAAATATTATTTAATGAAATCCTCTTATTCAAAGACACACATCTCAAAACTGAGATTTAATTTAAAAATTTTCTACACTGTTTTCAGGGGTATTTTATACATATGTATAAAACCCTGTTATGCTAAAAAAAATAATAACCTGATTATTATACATGAAATGTTCATCCAAACCATAAAACAAACATCACAAAATGATGAAAATAAATCAAAAACCTACTACTGCTTATATGTTATATCCTCCTGGTAAATAAAATTAAAATTGTTCTTAAAGTAACTAAGTTTTTCAAAAAGCAAATGCTTTCATTGTTAAAGCCAAGGACTAGGGGGAAAAATAATAATAAAATAGGCATAATACTGGTACAAGCACAGTAGGTCTCAAGCTCTCAGATATATTGGAACAAAACAACCGCTACCATAAATTTAGGTATTTTGCATAATGAAACTCGAAAGGCATACGAAACGAACGTGCGCCAAGATATATATTGGCGAGAGAAAGTAAAGTTCGTGTGCAATGCAGTATATTCGATTTTCACCCTAGCTACTTGTACTTGGGCCAAAGGTCTAAATCAAGTTAGTACTTTCTCTTTTCAGGTACGGTGACGAAGTATGTTCGTGTTTCTTTTTCTTATTGCCTAAAATAGGTAAGCCTGATGATATTTAGAACTGATGAAGATTCTATGTAAGTTATCTCCTTTTCGATACTTCAATTTTAATGTCTCTGAAGATTACTTTATTGTTATGCTTAAGTTAAGCAGAATTGTCCTATTTTATTAAATAAAGATTTCGTAGTTAAAATTTTGACTTATGATTCTTTAATTGTGTGCTTGAGGAAACGTACTCATTACGCCTTCAGTGCTAATGCACAACCAACAAAAGATTATGAGACTGATCAAGGTAATTGCCTTGTGAAAACGAAATTCTAAAATTGAAATTTTGTAATGTTGTAAGATTCCAGGGGTATAAAGTGTTAAAAACTCTTTGTTCAAAATACTAGTTACAAAGTTTAAAAGAATAATTGTAACAAATAATAATGTCTATTCTAAAAGAATCAATTTGTATAGAAAAGTTAACAGATAAAAATTATTCAGTGTGGAAATTTAAAATAAAACAACTTCTAATAAAAGAAGGTTTAGATGATGTCGTATTCGAAGAAAAACCAAATACTGATATTTCGTTAAAGAATGATCTTAAAGCTAAGGCTTTAATATGCTTAAACATTTCAGATTCGCAAATTATCCATGTATTGCATAGTAAATCTGCGAAAGAAGTTTGGCAGAAGTTAAAATGTGTCCATGAACATGTAAATTTAACATTATAAATTATTTCTTCTTAGAAAACTATATTCCATTAGATATAATGAAAGTTCTAAAATGCAGTAACATATCAAAGGAGTACTAGAATTGGCTGAAAAGCTGCGTAGTATAGGTGAAGAAATTAAAGAAAATAACTTAATAGCAATATTACTATGTTCTTTACCAAATTCATACAACTCCTTAATAACTGCAATAGAAAGTAAATTGGAAGCTGAATTGTCGCTAGAATATGTTAAAAACAAACTAATAGATGAGTATTGTAGACGTGTGGAAACTAAGAAAGTTCAAAACTACGATTCAGTTGCTTTAAAAAGTAAAAGCAAAAATAAATCACAATATTGTACTTATTGTAAGAAAGATAACCATATGATAAATGACTGTTTTCATTTAAAACGCAACGCTAGAACTTCCCCGAAAACAGATGTAAATAACAGTAAAGTAAGAAATTATTCTCAAAATTATAAAAGTAATGCATGCCAAATAGCAAATACACAAAGTGTACAAAACATAACAAAACTTAAAGAAAATAAGTATCTTAAAAGTATTGAAACTGAAAATTCGCAGATTCAGTTTAATCAAGTTCTAAAAGTGGAAAATAAACATAAAAAACACGCAAACGCAAGAATGGGTTATCGACTCAGGAGCCTCAACTCATATGACGAGAGATAAGAATTTTTTCTCTCAGTTAAATGTCTCAGATAGTAACTGTAGCCAATGGTGCTAAATTAAATTCTTATGGTATTGGTGAAGCCTATTTTAAAGTTCAAAACTTAAAGGGTCAGGTTACACAAATAAAGTTAAAAAATGTATTGTATGTACCAGGCTTAGATAGTAATTTACTTTCTGTTCAATCTGTTACGAATAAAGGTTGCATTGTTACATTTGATAGTAATAAGTGTTACATAAAGCGTAACAATATACTCGTAGCCGACAGAAACGCTCAGCAAGGTTTATATAAATTGACCGTAAACTCAATTGACGAGAAAGCATACTTAGCTAATGATATTTCATGTTCTAATTTGAACTGTATACTAAAATGGCATCAAAGATTAGGCCACAGAAATATAGATGCCATAAAAACACTTGAGAAAAATGATTTGGCAGACGGCATTAAACTTGGCAAATGTACTCATAGTGTGGAATGTTCTACTTGTGTAAAAGTGAAACTAACTGAAAAACCTTATCCCAAAACTAGTTTTAGATCTAAAAATCCACTGGATTTAGTGCACACAGATGTGCGTGGGCTAATTGAAGTCAACAGCTTAGGAGGGAAAAGATATTTCATAACTTTCATTGATGACTATTCGCGTTTCACTCAAATTTATTTTATTACTTCAAAAGATGAAGTATTCGACAAACTTAAACAGTATGTTGCATCGACAACAAATAAATTTAGAAAGAAAATAAAGGTTCTCAGATCCGACAATGGTACAGAATACTGTAACGAAACTACTAAAAATTATTTAAAGAAACTCGGAATTTTTCATCAAAATACGGTTCCTTATTGTCCGGCACAGAACGGCATCGAAGAAGGGGATCGCTCTCTAATAGAAATGACAAAAGCTATGCTAATAAACTCTAAATTACCGAAAGGATTCTGTGCGGAAGCAGCAGCTACTGCTGCATATCTTCAAAATAGGTTACCAACTAAAGTCACAGATAGAAAACCATATGAATTGTGGAATGGTAGAAAACCAAACTTAAGTCACTTACGAGTATTTGGCTGTAAAGCATTTTATTATGTCAACAAACAAAAATGGCGTAAATTCGGCAACAGAGCTGAAGAAGGAATATTCGTAGGATACGATTTACGAAGTAAGGGATACAGGATTTATGTAGGTGGAAGGAAAATAATAGTAAGTAGAACTGTTAAATTTTCAGAAGACTCGTCTTTGTCTGACAAGCATGCAGAAAATAATGCCGAAGATTTAGAATTAATTCACTTCACTAACTCACAAGAAGATGAAGAAAATAATGAAGAAAGATCTCTTGGCGATGATTTTACAGAAGATTAAAAAAGTTCTGAAGAGTTAATTAAATGTAAAGAAAATGTAGAAAGAAGGGTTTCTAGCAGATCAACCAAAGGGGTCCCACCGGAAAGATTCTCTTATAAAGCAGAAGAAGAAGAATCAATCTTACCTAAAAATAAAGATCCAGAAAGCTTTGAAGAAATTCTAAATTACCAAAACGTGAACAAGAAGCTTGGATCAAGGCTATGCAAGAAGAAATACATTCTCTAAAAGAAAATGAAACCTATACACTTACAGAATTACCACCAGGAAAACATGCAGTAGGCAGCAAATGGGTGTTTAAGACAAAATATGATGAAACTGGTAAAAATATAAAATACAAAGCACGCTTAGTAGCCAAAGGATTTACTCAAAAATACGGCAGTGATTATGATGAAACATTTTCCCCAGTAATGAAACACACTATGATCAGAGTTTTCTTAGCATGGGCAGCGTATAATAATGCCAAGGTACATCAACTAGATGTTAAAACAGCCTTTTTGTATGGCAACTTAATGAAGAAATATATATGGAACAACCAGAAGGACTCGTGGTTCCGGAAGAATGACATAAAGTTTGTAAATTACAGAAGTCGATTTATGGTCTCAAACAAGCAGCTAAATGCTTGGAATGCAGAAATTGAAAATACACTGAAGAATCTTGGGTTCAGTCAAAGCAAAGCAGATCCGTGTCTTTTCACAAAAGTGGTTCGTGATAAAAGAATTAATTTAATAGTGTATGTTGATGACATCCTAATAAGTTCTACAGAAGAAGGACTAATTCTTCAAACAATTAATGATTTAAAGAAACGTCACCAAATAATACATCTTGGTGAAGCTAAATATTTCTTAGGCATGGAAATAAATCGCAAGGAAGATAGAAGTTATCTCTCATCACAGAAAAATAAAATAAATCAACTTGTCAAGCAATTTCAACTTGAAGAAGCGGAAGCCGCCAGCACACCAATGGAAACGAACTATTATAACCTAAACAAGGAAGAAAATCTCCTAACTTCAAATGATAAATTTCGCCAAGCTATTGGAAGTCTTTTGTATATATCGTCTATCACAAGACCAGATATCACAGCTTCAACTCACAAACTCAGCAGAAGGTGTAATAATCCACGTCAAAAGGACTGGAATGCTGTTAAAAGAATCATTAGATACTTAAACACGACAAAGAATCTATCCTTACAAATTTCGTCGAGTGAAGAACCTAATATTACAGTTTATTCAGATGCTGATTGGGGACAAGATATTGAAGACAGAAAATCTACATCAGGAAGTGTTATTTTATTAGGAAGAAACTGTATGTCTTGGTTTTCAAGAAAACAAACTTGTATTTCTTTATCCTCAGCAGAAGCTGAATATGTTGCACTATCGCAAGCTACGCAAGAACTATTATGGCTATTAAAATTAACAGAAGATTTCAATCTACCCCAAACTCTACCGATAAAGGTATTTGAAGATAATCAGTCTACTATAAGACTTGTAGAATCTGAAAAATTCAGTTCACGCACAAAACATATTGATACAAAAGTTCATCATACACGCGACTTGAATAACAAAAGAATAGTAAAACTTGCTTATCTTTCAACAGAGCAAATGGTTGCTGATATTATGACTAAACCAATTCCTAAAGCTAAATTTCAGTTTTGCAGGAATGAATTGCAATTGATATGAGTTTCATTAGCAAAACAGGGGCAATGTTAGCATAAATTTAGGTATTTTGCATAATGAAACTCGAAAGGCATACGAAACGAACGTGCACCAAGATATATATTGGCGAGAGAAAGTAAAGTTCGTGTGCAATGCAGTATATTCGATTTTCACCCTAGCTACTTGTACTTGGGCCAAAGGTCTAAATCAAGTTAGTACTTTCTCTTTTCAGGTACGTTGTTAAAGTATGTTCCTGTTGTTCGTTTTTCTTATTGCCTAAAATAGGTAAGCCTGATGATATTTAGGACTGATGAAGATTCTATGTAAGTTATCTCCTTTTCGATACTTCAATTTTAATGTCTGTGAAGATTACTTTATTGTTATGCTTAAGTTAAGCAGAATTATCCTATTTTATTAAATAAAGATTTCGTAGTTAAAATTTTTGACTTATGATTCTTTAATTGTGTGCTTGAGGAAACGTACTCATTACGCCTTCAGTGCTAATGCACAACCAACAACAACAAACAAATAAAAAACAACAAAATGTAGTTTACTCATATACACAAAAAAGGAAAGCCACATAACTTTCCACTGTAGGAAACTCATAATGCCAGAAGATAAGAGACATCATAAACAGTGGAAAAACCAACAGCAAGTATAAAAGTTCAGACTGAATGTTGAGTTAATCTTCAGCTTTGGAACTGTGATTATCTACAGAGTGGGTAAAACCCTCTAATAAGAGTTTTTCTCATTAGCCGTTTCTGCTTATTATTGCTCATCTTGTATAATACTCTGTCTGAATGAAGTAAAAAAAAATTCTAATGCTTTTTAAGTAACATGATAAATTATTCTAACATTTCACAAAAATATAAAAATATCCCTAATGTTAATGATAAGTAAAAAGAACTTTTCATCAAAAGGTTGAAACTCATTCCAAGAGGAATCATCAAAATACAAGTAAGAATTACAAGATCTGCAGTTAGAAACTCATTATTACATTCTACAACTTATCTTAAGCAATATATATAGAGATTATGTATAATATTAGTACTAAAATAAAAGCATTAAATTACAGCAGCCAAAGAGCATATAAATTATAAATACTATAACTGAAAATAAACATACAGGATAGGTGCTTTTAGGCCACAAACAACTGCATTGTACTCTGCCATTTTTCAGGCAGCAGTCAGATGCTGAATAACTTCCACTGTTTGAAACACTCTTACTTGCTTGCCCCCTTTTTTGTCTTTCTCCTAAATGGACAAAATAAAAAATTAGAAAAATATAATTTCTTGTAACATAAACTATGAATGAATGCGTGTTTATTTATATATTTTTGTGTGCGTGAATGCATGTGTGGTTCAGAAAATAGCTTATGAAAACAGCAATTACCTACATAAAAATTTTATGCACTGCAATCATAAAAAAATTGGCATAGACTTAGTGTTTATATATATCTTATATATATGCAGCTTAAATGTTCGTCGCCGGTAGTTTATTGGTTACTTGTGTAACTGTAAATTTCTTTATTCCCCGTGCAGTGCAGCGCATGATGAATATTACGAGGAAGCTAAGGCGGAAAAATTAAAAATACAAGAGCACGTGCATTTAATATTTAATAAATAAATTTAACATCTATATATAATAGAATTCGGAAATATGCAACTGGCAAAAACTGGCAAAGATGAAAAAACAAATAAAATGAAATAAATAAATAAATATCTTTTTTATATGTGGCTTAAGTGTCTGTTTGTCGCCAATAGCTTATTGGTTGCTTGCGTAACTGTACTAGCCAATGGGGTGAAGTTGGCACGGCACAGGGTTGCCGTTTCAATTGAGACGTAGACAATTTCCTGTACAACTTGCCTTTGCTATGACCATCAATACGTCTCAGGGCCAAACACCTAAGCATTTGGCATTTTTTTACCTGAGCCCGCATTTGGACACGGTCAACTTTATGTTGCCTGTTCAAAAGTTCATGAAAGAGCGAATGTAAAATTAAAAATAATTTATTTCCTCTGCAAGGCGAGTTTAAAAATGATGGAAAGATCTACACAAGAAATGTTGTGTACAAAGAGATCTTTGACACGTGAATTAACATTTTATTATTTAAATCACCTTTATTTATTGAACTAGCAGTGGCTCTTAAGAAATGTACCGCCAGTGGTTTCCTTCATTGCACTCTATTTTAAGCAATTAAGCAAGTAAAAGGGGAAAACTCCATGGGTCAGTAAGCAAAGGGGCGTCTTCGCCGCCTGCTCTGGGTAATTAGGTTTGAATTAGCAGAGCTTTTTCACAAAACATTTTAATTACAATTTATAATATCTAAAACAGCGGTCATTTTGTATGACCGTCGGGCTTTCTAGTATATATATATGTACTTTCAATTATAAAATTTCTGAGGGGGGAGGGAGATAATTTTATGAGCACAGCTTAAGCACTCATAGAAGAAGACCAAAATTTAACTTTTTATATAGCTTCCACAGAGTAAAACAATTTATACAGCAGAAAGATAATAATCTTTTAATATGTTAATAGAAATTTTCAAACCATCACTTGCATCATTCATGGAGATGTTAGTAAGCAAATTATTGAATTAAACTGCTTTTCACTGTTTTTTCTTAAACTAGTATTTTGATAAGATTGACGTAGAAATAATAAAATAATGGTAGATTGTTTTGGCGATTAATTGTTCTGTACCGAGTAAAAGAACATACATTATTAATTATAGCACATTCTATGAAACTATTTATAACTAATACATTTTCAAATTTTGCATAGAGTTCAAAAAATTTTGCATTCACCTTATTAAAGCATTTTACTAATTAGACATTTTGTCTATGGGAATCATATAAGTACTTATGAAAACAATTTATAGGCAGGATGAGTTTGAATTTTGCAATAAAAATCAAAAATGTTTCTTTTCGGAATAAATGTCACCAAAATGTTTCTTACAAATAATAATAAAAATATGCCCGAATATGTTTTCTTTTCTTGACTATTAAATAATGCAGAATCTTTTCTGTTATTAAATGACGATGAATCATATATGTATGCATGGATGTTCTTTGCACTGTGAAAAAATGGCAGAACTTACAAGCACCCAATTTTGAACACACGTAGCCCTCCATCCAAACATCTGGACACAAAACCCCTAATTTTTAATTCAGAATCTGGTTTCCCCCCTTTCCCTCATTACACATTTTGTGTGAATTTAATAAAATTCTAATTAATTAACTCAGCAATTTAGAAGCAATGTGTTGCCACTCGGCAAATTACAAGATTTTAATGTTTCAAACTGAATTTAAAAACTTAGTGAATTAAAAGAAATGTGCTGCCACCCGGCAAAGCGTAATATATTTGACTTAGGAATTTAATCAACAAGCTTGGCAACTTAAAAGAAATGTGTTACCACTATCCAAAATAAAATATTTTAAACTTTGATACACCAGTGTGTTGCCATTCACCAAAATGTAAGTTATTTAACTCTTCGTTCAATTTAATCAGTCTGTTGCCATTCACCAAAACATAAGTTCCTTAATTCTTCCTTCAATTTAATCAGTCTGTTGCCATTCGCAAAAATCTAAGTTATTTAATTTTTTATTCAATTTAATCATTCTGCTATTGATTAATAAACAAAGTGATTTAAAACCAATAAACATATTTCATCATCTCTGTTATTGTTATTATTATTAATAATTAGTAAAATTAGCCGTCAAATTATGGACTTGTAAAAGTCGTTATATATTTTTTCCTTCTTTATAAAAGCTATTTTAAGTGACTGACTACACAAGCGTCTAACGCAATAAAGAAAAGCAATTTTTTTAAAGAGCAGCAAATTCCAAAGAAAGTAAATGTTCTGGAAGCAGTGATTATAAAAAAGAAAATTATAGCAGATTTAAGAGAGAAGAGAAATATACCAAAATAAAACATAATATTAAGGCAAAGCAACTATTACTTCTGTTTGGCTTATATTTAACCAAGATCGATTTTGACAGCAACATGTGCAGGTCCCTCGTCATTGGCAGAAAAGAAATTTTCTAAGAAGGAAGCTGTATTTACATCAAAAAAACAGTCCATCTGTCCATGGAGGTACAGTCAAAAGTCGTTAATTCGGACACCCATAATCCGGAATGATCTATAATCCGGACCTCAAAGCTACAAACTTTCTGCGCATGCGTCGCATTGACGCATGCGCGTAAGACCTTTACCACTGTGAATTTGCGTGTGCACGTGCACAAAATACGTTTACGAATGCGCGTTTAATGTATAACGGACGGGATAAGCTAAGCTAAAATTATCTAATTATCTAGTTCAGGTAATTTTGCAGATTGCGTTTTTCCTTAATCTTCGAATTGGATCCGGATTATTATTTTTTGCAGACTGTTAGAGCAATTTTATAAAAGTAAGCTTGAACATTTGATTATGTCAAATAGAATTTCCGATATATATTTACTAATATGTAAAGGGTATACAAAGCGAAAGTAACTTTCGGAGTCCATTAAACAAAAAGTGGAATTGCTGTAAAAAATGGATAAAGGCATATCCTTTGTTTATCTAAACTTTAACGTTTGTTTATCTAAACTTTGTTTATCTTTAACGCTGCGGCAGCGTGCAATGAATTGGAAGTTGATCTGTTAGCACTATCCTTATCTTAAGGGCAGATGTTTTTAATTTATTTGCCTTATAATTGCTTACTCAATGTAGTATTTCATCTCAATGTACTCCATCTTTGATATGATTTAAATCAAATGCCTGGTCATTATAATTCGCTTCCGATAGCGAAGAAAGTGACAGAGGTTATTGAAAACAAAAAATTTCGATTGACAAATTAGTCGGTATTCTCGACAGAGCAATTCTAGGACTTGAACAGCGGAACTTTGTAACTGAACAAGAAATTATGTCTGTTTATAGAATTAAAGAGAATGTATTATCACATAAAAAACGAAGCAACTTAAACAACTTACATTGAAAAAAATGTTTAATAAAGTAAACAAATAAATATTAAGCTTTTTTTTGTAAATTTTGATACCCCTTTAGATCATAATTGTTCTTTATTTCGTAAATTACGGTTTCATATTTTTAATTTTATAATTTCTGCATGCCATTTTACCAGATTTAAACTGATGATCTATAATCCGAAAAATCGATAATCCGGAATTGCCGAAGTCCTGACGAGTCCGGATTAACGACTTTTGACTGTAGTAACGAAACATGAAAAATTAAGTTAACAGCATTTTAAAAGCAACTTTAGAGCATTTTAAACATTAAGAAATTATGTGTTCTGTACTCTCAGAGTTTTCTCTTCAGAATCTTTGCTTTCTAAGGAACTCAATTATTTGAAATCAACTGCCATTTACAGAGGTTTTTCTCCCATGGATATTCATAAATGCCTTTAAAACATTTTCACCTTGCCATCGAAAAAGACATTCACTGTTAAAAAAACATAAATAACCTAGCTGTTCTTCCATTTCATACTTCTATCAGTTACAAAATTGCACCGATTCTCCAAAAGTAAATTTTCAAATCATTTCCTCACCTACAATAAAATACCTTGGTTCGATTCTTAAAGATTCCATTTCTGACTCCAATTCTTGGAGAATTTATACAGTCAAAAGTCGTTAATTCGGACACCCATAATCAGACCTCAAAGCTACAAACTTTCTGTGCATGCGTCATGTTGACGCATGTGCGTAAGACCTTTACGGCTGCGCATATGCGTGTGTGCATAATACGTTTATGCATTCGCGTTTAATGTATAATGGACGGTATAAGCTAAAATTATCTAATTATCTATTTCAGTTAATGTTGCAGATTGCGTTGTTCCTTAATCTTTGAATTGGATACGGCTTATTATTTTTTGCAGACTGTTAGAGCAATTTTATAAAAGTAAGCTTGAACTTTCGATTATGCCAAATAGAATTTCCGATGCTGGAGCTCCTAAAGGATCTACAAAGCGAAAGTATGTTTCGATGTCCATCAAACAAAAAGTGGAATTGCTGCAAAAAATGGATAAAGGTATATCCTTTGTTTCTCTAACCATTCCAAAATCTGTTTATCAATTTCATGCTGCTCTGCAGCAGTGCGCAATGAATTGGAAGTTGATCTGTCAGCACTATCCTTATCTTCAGGGCAGATGTTTTTATTTTATTTGACTTTAATTCCTTTCTAAATGTAGTATTTCATCTCGATGTACTCCGTCTTTGATATGATTTAAATCAAGTTCCTCGTCATTATAATTCGCTTCCGATAG